TTTATTTTTGAGATATTCTAGAAATATGTGAGAGTTTAAAGTCAAATTTTTTTTTTTTTTTATACTCATATATATATATATATATATATATATATATATATATATATATATATATATATATATATATATATATATATATATATATATATATATCTGTATTCTTTCTTTAGATTCATCTCAACATTTCAAATGTTTTTTTCTAGCAAATTTTCAAATTCAAATTTCATTTTAGGTTACTTTATAAAAATAAAAGAAATTCAACTTTTCAAACTCATAAATTTCAAATTTTTTTCTAGAAAATTTCTGAAATTAATCTAAAAATTTCGGATTAATTTCCTAGTAATTTTTTTGACTTAAAATTGAGAAATTTCAATGTGTTTTTCTAGAAAATTTCTGAGCTTATTCTCAAAATTTCAGAATTCTTTGGCCGAAATTCACTCCTTTTTTCTATCTACAATGGACCTGATACGCCATCATAGAAAGAAGCCATATTGACTTTTCTTTACGAATAAAACCAGAAAAATGTGGCATGAATTAATATCCCACCCCTTTGACTTTGATACCCCAAAGTAAAACAAACTGTCTCTTTTCTACTCCCGTGTTTTTTAGTTGCCATTGGTTTTGCAGTGGTTTCCACATACACACCACTGAATGTCGCACCAAAAACCAAATAAAATCATTTTCTCTCATTTTGCTGTTGATGTTTGAAACCTAAAACAAAACTTTCTGATTCATAATTTCACCACTAGGTGGCACTCATGGCGCATTATGCCTTAATTCACAGACACACGGTTGGTAATAATTTAGAAAATAATAAATTAAAAAGTAACGCCCCCAGTCATGACACAGCAGAACACCCAACACTTTTCACAATGCGAGGCCACAAACTAATAACTTTTTCAATCTGTTTTTACAAACCACAGCACATAAGATCAGCCTGCTGTCGCCGTTTCCATGGGGACAAAAACAAAAATATTCAACCAAAAAATTAGATTTTTACAGATCCTTTCAGTTACGCCACAATTTTCTAATTTTGGAAAACTGTTTTAAAACCAAACCTTATTTTCCTTCTGAATTGAAATGATGCTGCTTTGTGTTGGTCTCCCTCATAAAGCTCCAATCTGATATACATAATATCACAGAGGGGTGTAAATACTTTTACAAAGCACTGAAACTTGATCTCATCATTCTAGCTGTTGGATTTGAGCTGAGAGCCGTTAGACGGGAGGAGACGAGAGGCTGGACAGCAGCAAGTTTAACGCAGCATCTATCTTTTAAAACACAAATAAGAATTCATTTCTCCTAAACACATTTGTTGTTTTTCTCTGGATTGTTGCAGGAAAGGCAAAGTCTCTAATTTTTGCAGCTTAGGAGGAACCTGAGTGAAGTTTGGCCCATCACGCCTCCTTTAATCTGACAAAACTGGTGTAAAAAATGTCCCGTTTGTGGCGCCATCATTTCAAAGATATTCATAAAAACGTTTCCAGAGCTCATCATCACCTATAACTTCAGAGCAAAAGCAGCAAATGAAATGAACTGACACCTGTTTTGTTACATTTGGGTAATGTAGCGCTGGCAGACCTAAAAATTCATCAATATCTTCAAAGAAAAAGCAGCACAAACAAAAAAATGTTGCAGCACAAACCTGGCCGAGTTGATTGTCATCAATTTTGTTTGATTTGAAGAAGGTGAGTGGGCTGGTTGACCTTTCATGACCTTTGGAAATATTTATTAATATCTTGAAAACAACTGCGGCACAAATAAAAAAAATTGCAGCACAAATGAAGCCAACAATCAACTCGGCTTCGTTTGTGCTGCAAAAATAAAACCAAACGTTAGATTTGGATAATGTGGCGGTGGTTGGTCTTTAAATTTTTATTTACATTGTCTCAAAAAAAGTAGCACAAACAAAACATTTTGCAGCACAAAAATAGTTGAGCTTGTCAAGTTGATTGACACCAGTTTTATTAGATTTGAAGAAAGTGGGTGGGCTGGTTGACCTTCCATGACCTTTGGAAACATTTATTAATATCTCCAAAACGATAGCAGCACAAGCTAATCTTTGCAGCACAAGCTAATCTTTGCAGCACAAACATTTGATGCCAGTTTTATTGGATTTGAAGAAGTTGTTGGCGGCCAAACTTCACTCGGGTTTAGGGGGAGCAGTTTAATTATCGTCAGATTTCAACGTGCCGTTGCGTCAGACTCTGCGTCTCGTCCTTCCTTCGCCGCTCTTATTTTGCGGCATCACAAAGAGCTGAGAGGGGAAACAATTTCCCGTCGTCAAGTGGGTAACGAAACTGTTTTCTGCTGAATTTTGTCTCGTTTTAGAACAAAAAAAAGTATCGAAAAACATGTCCGCCAAACATAAAGTCAACTGTAATCCCAATCGTCTCATTCGTTGTTCCGGAAACGTATTTTTGTTAAACTGGAGAAGTGAGTGAGGGAAGGTGTGCCCGTCTCATCGGTAGTTATCCTATTCAAGCTGCTTACGTTGCTTAGCTTACCTGCAGCTAACAGAGCCAAAACTCTGGAGCGCCTGAGCTTATGATGCTAACATGCTAACAGGAAGAGCAACATCCAGACCAGATGGTGGGCAGCACTGTGCAAACAGAGACTTTCTACGCCTGATTGAACGTTTTCAGGCTTTTTTTGGAGAACTTGGATGATTTTTTTTTTCTGAATTTGGCAACTTTTTCAATTGAAAAGCTGAGAATTATGGATTCTGATTCAATGAAATAGTTTCGGTAGCTTTTCAGCAAAATATATACCAATAATTCCTAATATAAATTAAAAATATTAATTCCATTAGCAGATTTTTTCCACTTATAATGTAGGAAAACTGTTTTCTTACAAATAAAAATAATCTGCCAGTGAAACTAGAACTTTCCATTAATATTAAGGAATAATTGACTTAAAACAAGCTCCTGCATTGTACCAAAAATGTTACTTGTAAGTTAGTTTCGTCTTAATTCAAGCTTAATATATTTGCACTAGAAACAACACAAAATTACTTGGTAAGATTTTGTGTTTTTGCAGTGTCATCCAAAAGCAAAACAATAATTTAACAAAGAAGAAAAATTCCCACATTTAATAACTTTATTAAAAAAAAAGATATTTGAACCACCAGAAATAATTAATATTATAAATATTGAACCAAATGAAACAAGTCCTGCTCAAATTAAAATGCTTAAACACAGAAACATCATTTTTTATCAATATTAAGGATTCATTGGCTTAGAGTTACCTGTAAACTAGTTTTGTCTAATTTCAAGTTTACTATAATATTTGCACTAAAAACTAAACCAAAAATACTTGGTAACATTTTGTGTTTTTGCAGTGTATGTTTGTATTTTTTAGAATTTCCTCCTTATCTTTACTGGCTTTTAGTGAAAAAGAACCTAAACATTTGTACATCAGAGGACGTAACTTAGACAAAAATGAAAACGTTTTCATGAAAAAGCAACCAAAGGCCAAAGAAAACCTGAAATCCGACTGACCAAGCCGACTTTAAACGGCTACAATAACATCTACAGAGCTGACTGAAGACTTTTGCACAGTTCTGATCATTTTCTAACCACCAGGAATCAGTTCTGGATGTTCCTCATCGTCAAACAGCTTACGGCCCCGTTTGCTCTCCGTATACCTTTCACTCCCTTGAGGGCGTTTTTAACGACGTCAAGTGGACCAGTCAAAGTAAGACATTTTACTGACATCACAAGCACAGGTAAGGCTTAAAAAGCTGCTTACTCCAGAGGACAGTCTACACACTGTTGCTACGGTAACTACAGCTAGGACAGGTAAAGGAGTCGGCATGCTTGCAGAGGAAGAGAGGAGCGGTGTGGCATGTGGGTGAGGGACACTGACACGCAAGTCCATTGATATCCATTAATATCAAAAAGAAGAACATTGATATAAAATTAAAATAATGGTCAAAGACTGGAGATGGTTGGTCTTTAGATTTAAATTTATCCGTATCTTCATTAATTTTCTCATTTTCCCCCCAATCAGGGCTCCAGAGCCAACTTTCAAACCTTAAACAACCCAAATTAACAAAACAAGTAGAAGGAAACTTTGGCAGCAGAAAAACAGATTTTAAAAATAGACTAAATCTATTTTAGTCATTTTTAAGAACGTAGCTGATATACGATACATGTGCCTTCATAAATACCTCAAAGTACAAAGTTAGAGTCGAACGCTTCCAGGTTATTGTCTTTTTCTCCGCAGATGTTCAGATAAGTATAAATGTTGAGGTGAAGCAGCGTCAGGTGACCTCGGGGTCAACGTTTCATCACTTCAAACTTTTTCCATTCAATTCCTCAAACTCACAGAAAACCGATTTTCAGCTCAACTGTAACAGAAATGCAGAAAACCAGAAACTCTCACTGCGTCAAGCAAACGCTTTGGGTGAATTAGCCACTCATTCACTATATAGTGCACCACAAGGCGAGTCGTCCATCTTGTACACCGCGTTAAAATTATTATTATTACTGTAGCTTTTCAGCAGCTATGCAGGCCATAAAACAATCTACTGTTAAAACCAGTGTTCATTTTATTGGTCCTAATAGATCATAAAGCAAATCAGTCAATCAAACAGGACATAATGTTAGCATGTCAATGCTAATGTTAGCAAAAACAAGCTGTTTTTATTATTATCTACTATATAATTCACTAAATATTTGTTATGTTGAACAATATACTTGCTAATAGAGAGAAAGTTTAATTCATGAGTTAAAGTGCAGATTAACGAAGAGCCGTCTAAGCAAACATGGAGCTAAATTAGCATTAAAATGCTAATATTAGCATGATAATGCCAAACAACTGTTTTATTATTACTTGGCACACTAAATGTAGATACTACAGAAACTGAGCCCTGAATTTACAATTAAGTGTAAAGCATTCATGTTTAATGAAATAATATCATCAATGCTAGTGCTAGCAGGCTAATGCTAAAATTTAGTTGTCTTTTTTACCATGTAGTTGACTAGAAATGTGTTTTATTTTACAGTAAATGTGTTTTTAGGTTCTGGATCCATTATTAAGAAGGGTAAGTGGAACTGGCTTAACCCATGTTAGCACATTAACAGCAATGTTAGCATGCTAATGTTAATATTCAATTATCATTTTACTACAGTACTATAAATGTTTCACATTTTAAATACACTGTACAGATGTTACCAAGTGTAAAATTGTGCTAAGCTAATCTAGTGTGCTAGTGTGGTAATGCTAATGCTAGCATGCTAACACAACATTTAAAGTGTAATTTCTTTTATCTCCAAAACATTGAACCAAAAAATGTCACATGGAACAGTAAGTATCCTGTGAAGAGTTTATTAGGATTAGTTAAAAATAAAATTAATATATCACCTTTTTGGAATATGATGCAATAAATTTACAAAATATAACATCAGCATTGATGTTAGTGTTGTACCACTAATGTTCAACTGTATTTTATACCTACTATAGGGCACTAGAGTTTATATCATGGTGCAGGATGTTATTTTTAAAGTTCCCTTATGTCAACAGAACATTAGCATGCTAGCATTAACTACTTTAGTAGTTAATGCTAGCATGTAACTACATGTAAAGTAAAGTAGTCATTTTAACCAATCATTTAAAAGACAACAAGTCTTAAATGACTGGTTAAAAATCAATCAAAGGTTATCAGTCATTATTTAATCTAGTGTGCAGTGCTTTACTGTTGTACTGTTAATGCACTGAATGAATGTTGTGGACAAACATTTTGAAGCTCCCACATGTCGGTACATTCCCACTTGTTGCGCTGCATCTGTAATCAGATGAAGCTTAACATGTGGCTTCAGCTGGCGCGAGTAAAAGTAATTATTCTGGCAATCAGTGGGATGTTTGACCAACATGTGGGGAGTCTGGGTCAGTCTGGTGGAATAATCTAAATTTAAAACAACCAACAACAGAACAGGTATTTTATTTTTACTCATGAACAAAAACCCAAAAAAGGAGGAAAATCTGTTCCTCTTTCTGACCTACAACCAACGAGAAAACAATCAGCAGCACCACTGAGTTTAGATCAGTGAAATCTGAAGTTTTAGGAACAATGACTAACATAGATATGTATTTTAATGATCTGTAATAATTTATGTAAGATAATCCTGCTGTTCCCTCTCTGACTGCATTTTCAACCTAAAACAGACAAACTACCTTTTAAATACACATCAAATGTACTCTGCAATTAAAATTACAAAACAATTTACCTCAGTTCAGCTTAATTCACTGGTTATACACCCAATCTTTGACAATAGACACATTGATTTTCCCACATTTGTAAACATATTTGCTCTGTAAGAGACCATTTATTTATTTATAAAAATCCATGACCAGAATTTACCCAATGTGTCAGAAGATCTGGGCATAAAGGCGATATAACGGATTAAAAATGTGTTTATGGCACAGAAAATGTGTTGTAGATAGGCTATACATGGCATTTGTTAAGAAGTGTAATGTTAGCATGTTAATGCTAATGCTAGCATGTTGAACCTTAAGTAATAATAGACATTAAAGCTCAACAATCCTTCTTTTTATCATAATCGTAGCGTAGAGGCACTGAGTATCAGATTAATTGGGGGAAAAACGTAAAGTAATGTGACCTGAGTTAACCAAAACTAACTTTTGCAAGCTAAAGGTCATGTTAGCATGTTTACGCTAATGTTACGCTAATGTCTGGGCAATTAATCTAATGCAGAAGCACAACAATCATCTGGAAATGTAAAGTTGTCCTCCTGTTAGCTAATTCTGGAGCGCTAGCTACAACATTTGTTCCCACTGAGAAAAAGATACTTTGCTAAGGTTGCTAAACGTTAAGTGTAAGTAGCCCTGCTAGCTATGCTACTTTGTGAACAAAATATAGTGACTGAGTGACATTCACATTTCAAACACACCTGCAGTCGCTGCGAATATGCAGAAAAATAATTATGCTTGTCCTGTGATAGAATGAGAGTCTGACAGTTCTCAAAATTTGTTGCATGATTACAAAAGAAGAATAATTCAAACAGAAAAGAAGACAGTCGTCTTCACCTGAAAATACAACCTGAAAGAGGCATGCACAGTTCAGACCACAAGGAAAATAAAGAACTGTGACAAAGAAAACATGAGAAATCAAAAGATTATCAATAAAAATCCATGAGTGTAATCCTGAAAATAGACATGTTGTTAAGTCAGTCAACACGCTGGGTTTCTTCTTAGCCTGGCCATCACTACTGCCTTGATCATGAGTTTGGAAAGAAAAAAAACAACAAAAACAACAAGAAACCAAAGTTACAGAACACCAGCGCATGCTCGACAAAACATAATCAAAACCCAAACTGAGGAAAGTGCAGGGTTGGTTGCAAAGGAACTGAGGAAACACACAGGATCAAGCAGTCAAAATGACTCCACACAATCATATGAACAGACAGGATCACACACTGCAGCGCCACCACCAGGAAAACCACTGCCATAACCCACACCGAGACCAGGTTAGGAGGGAACAGCAGCTCAACACAAAACACGGCTTGCTGGCTTTTGTCGCCCTCGTCCTCTTGAAGACCCCAAAAACCCCTAGAGACCCCGGATTATCGGGAGGCTTTAAGGAGACGCTTTATTTTGAAGGGGTGTGCATAAAACAGATGGAAGACTGTCGTAAACATGAACGAGTCTTCATGAGCGTTTATGACTGTTGTCGTTAAGTGTCATTCGGTAAATGATGACACCTTTAATGAAAAGTTGTCATTGTTTAAGTTGTCTTTATGACAACTTGACAATAAATTATAACTATTTTATAACAAGTATTGATTGTCAAACTTTAAAACGTTAAACGTTGTCATCTTTGTTATGACAACTTGACATGACAGAAATTATTATCTGTCATAAGTATGTTATGACAAGTATTGATTCTCAAACTTTATAATGTTATGTAGCTTTATGGTTAATATTACATTGCTCTGTCATTTGTTGTTACTCTTTTTGAATTAGTTTGCAAAGTTCATAAGTGTTATAACATATTTATTACACATTATGATGTCTTAGTTAATATTAAGTTGTCATAACAGACATTTATTGTTGACAACCAAACATTAACAAAGATATTATAATCTATCATAAATATGTTATAACAAGTGTTGACTATCAAATTTAAAAAGTTATGGAGCTTTATATGTTATTACATTACTGTCATTTATTGATAGTCTTTTTGAATTAATATGGAAAGTTCATGGTTTTTATAACATATTTATTACAGATTATGATGTCTTGGTTAATGTCCATTTATCATAATAAAGACAACAATGTCTTTGTTATGACAACCAGGCATTAAGCAAGAAATTATAATCTGTTATAAATATGTTATAACAAGTACTGATTATCAAACTAAAAGGTTTTGTAACTTTATGTGTGAATATTACATTACATATTTATTACAGATTATGATATCTCAGTTAATGTTAAGTTGACAACAAAAACATTTATTGTTTTGGATATCAAGCTATCAAAAGACATTCTTTGTCTTGGTTAATGTCAAGTTGTTATAACTATATTATAACAAGTATTGATTATCAAACTTTAAAAAGCTTTGTGGCTTAATTTTCATCTAATTATTCCTACGATATTTCAGCAAGGTGTCTACAAAGTACTTATGAACTTTGCCTATTTATTCAACTTGACTTTATGTCAAATTGTCATAAATAAATTTTGTCTTTGTTAATGTCGAGTCGTCGTAACAAAGACATTTTAAACCAAGTCAACTTTTCATTAAAAGTGTCATTATTTACTGTCTGACATTAACGACAGCAGTCAAACCCCCTGAAGTCTCCTTCATGTTTACAACAGTAAACATGAAGTTTACGTCAGTCTCTTACACACAGCCCTTCAAAATAAAGCGTCTCTGTTTTCTCCTCCCTGCTAACCTCGGCCGCCCTGACCTAGGATCTTTCGCTGGTTGACGCTAACGGAGCGGTAAACCCTACATGGTGATGGCTGATCGATGGCAAAAGGGACAGACACTTGGCAGAGGCTGCGCAGAGTCGCGTGGAAATGAGTGGGCTGGACATGGGACTCGTTCGGATGTGGGGGGATGTATGCAGAGAGGACAGAGGAGGAGAGAAGGAGGTGAAACCAGAGACAGAGGAGGAGGAGAGAAACGTGGAGTGGAGGTCGTTGATCCTTCGTCTCCTTACCGTGTCTTTGGAGGACCTACGTCTCTTGATGCTGGAAGCCAGGGTGGTACTGATGGACCTAAAAGAGGCTTTCTTTTTGGGGTCGGGCTCTGCTCTACCACTTTTCCTATCCTAAAATGAATATATGTAGAAACATTATTCGTGCGCTACGGCCGGGGCGACGACTGTGCCGCTCAGTCTCACCCAGTCGCTCTACACCCAGCACCCGACACCCCACCTTAGTGTCTACGGTTTTTAGAAAGGATCTTGTCGGACAAACACTAGAGCATTTAAAAAAGTAAAAAAACAAAAAGAAGTGAAAGGAGGGAGAAAGAAAGAAAGGGATAAAGCTTGTTATTAGGTGTGTGTCTGTTCTAGGGCTTACTGCACAGGATGGTGGAGTAGTCCTCCAAAATGTGCTCAAACATCCTCGGAAATGCACTGGGATGAGTGATGACTAGAAAAGATGTCAGTGATTGTGATATTTATATTTACTTAAACCATCTAAATGAATGGCTGCTGCCTGGAAACACCCAACTGATCGAAGCCTTGAGATGGGTTGACGGAAACGCTAAACATGACCTATTGAGGTACGATGGATGTGAAAAGTTTGCACTGCTGGGTTTTTGTGATGTAAAAAAATATCAAGATATTTCTGATGCAACTAATACTTGATTGCCTTTAATGGTATCAATGAGATACATCTTGAATTGGTAGCAACCTCCTAATCTGTCAGACTGACTCCTGTTGGGAAACTTAGTTTAACTCTCATCTAAATTGGATCTGAATCCAGTTTTGTTTGGACTAGTTATTATTCTTCGGATCATTGTCCTTTAAACTTTCCCAAGCTAACACTCACTCATGGACTCCTAACTTGAACTGTCCCCTGCAGTAACACAACATCTTAATATTTACAACCTGAAGTTAAAATATTAACTCATTGGTTTTGTTCCTCCAAACAAAAGGTGGCGCTGTTTTGTAAATGTGACAATAAAAACATGAACTCGGGGCGTTCTGAATTATTTACAGATTCTGTAAATATGGATTCAAAGCTTTCCAAAGAAAGTATCAAAAAAGTTCTTTACTGCAAGTGTTGTGAGTAATTTGTAATTTAGAAGCATAAGAAGAAAACAGATTTGTGTTGCTTTGGCAAAAACAAACATTTTCTTTCAGCCAGTCAGCTGCCCAACATTAATAAATTTATTTTAGGTGTAATGATGCAGTTAGTCAGCGCGGGGCACAGCGCCGCGTCACTGGTATATAGCTTTCATATTCTATAAATATGTTTGTTTAAAAATGTGAGAAAACAACAATTTCCTGTTTATTAAGTCATTATTTAACACAGTTGATACAAAATAATGTTAAAATTAGTTATTTTTTAATTCAGCATTTTATATTTAGCCAGTCAGGTCATGAAAAGATGGTCGGCACTTTTCAGACAAGAAAATTAAAGTTTTTTAAGAAAATGGCCTCTCATCAATTAATTATCAGTTGGTCAATAAGATCAATCTTAGCTCATTAATTGATATTTATCCTAATTTCTGAGGAACATTTCCAGACTCAACATTGTCTCATTTCTTTACATCACAAAAACAGATCATCTTCTGAGGTTTGTGCAAACTTTGCATATTCAGTGCAATACGACATTAAATGACATTAAATGACATTAAATGACAGCATTTTGGGGCCATCGTGGATAAAAACAAGTAAACTTTTGCCAAAAAACTCAGAAATTTTCTAGAAATAAAACAAGGAAATTTCTCATTTAGAAAAGTCAAAAATCTGCTAGAAATTTTGAGATTAACTTGAGAAATTTTCTAGAAAAAACAAAACTTTTTGAGTTTGACAACTCAAAATTTTTTCCCAGAAAATAATCTTAGAAATTTTATGATTAATCTCAGAAAATTTCGAGGAAAAAAATAAAAGTTTTGAGTTTAACAAGTCAAACATTTGCTAGAAAAAAACTCGGAAATTTTTAGATTTATCTCAGAAATTTTCTAGAAAGAAACTTGGAAATTTCTGAGTTTGAAAAGTCAAAAATGTTCAACTTTTTAAAACTCTGAAAATATCCGTGCTTTTTTAAAAATAATTTCTGAAAATGATCTCAAAATTTCTGATTTTTTTTCTAACAAATTTTCAACTTTTGAAACTCCTAAATGTCCAATTTTTTTCTGTAAAATTTCTGAGATTAATCCTACAATTTCAGATTTTTTGTAGCAAATTTTAAACTTTTGAAACTCTAAAATTTCAATTTTTTTCTAGAAAATTTCTGAGTCTAATGTAAAGATTTTAGAGTTTTTTGGCAGGAATGTACTCCTGTCTCTTTTTCTACCCACGATGCCCCTAATGCACCGTCACATCGTTACGATCGGAGCTTAGCGAATGGTTTCATTTACTTTTCAAAACAAAGTGGAAAAGTTATTTAAGAAATAACTTCTCAGTAGTTTTGCAGCCGTTTCGGCGCCTTCCTCCCTCCCTCCCTGCCTCCCTCCCTCACCCTCTGAGCCCCACAGCTACTCTCACAGTGACTGCATGGTTTGTGTGCAGAAATAAACAAAACCAAATAAATAAACTCATATTAATGAATTCTTACATCCTGAGTCTCTACAGAGGAAGAGGGCTGCATAGGGGGGAGAAAAGAAAAATAAAATAAATTTCCATCCACCTGATTATTACTTTATACAAGATCCTTAAGCAAAAGCCAAGGGAACTAAAAAAATTATTAAAAAATAATAAAAATGTGGCGAATATTTATTTAAAAACTGCTAGCAAAGCAAACATCCACATCCAAAGCCAGGCAGGTATAAAAAAGTGAGAAGCTACAGTTTTGGATGCATATCGAAGGGAAAACAATAGCGACAAAAGTCAGTAACTGAAGCCCATTTAAAGTCATTATACCGTGAAGCGGTATAATGGAAATTCACCCCACACACAAGGGAATGTGATGCAGCATGATAGGTGGAATGGGTCCCTAATGCAGCAGCAAACCCACGTTCCTAACCAAATTAAACCTCATATGGAGCAGTTTAAATACCCAACTGTAAGATGGGATTTTATCCTAAAAGTAAATAAAAATAAACAAAAAAGAAGCGCTCTAAGATGGATGTTGTTAAAGAAAATGTGGTGGGTAGTTTGGGGCTGGGCAGTGTGGTGTGAATTTCAACATGCCTTCATGGATGGAGGGGCGTCATAAAGGAGGAAAACATAGAGTAATAATGATAATTAAACATTAAACAGAGCAGGACAGATCGATGGCGGCCAGCACTGGGCCTGCAGAGCATCGTCTCTCATCAGGTCACATGACTCGGCTGTTTCAGCTTCAGGAGATCGCCGCTTCACACTCAGTACGGAAAGCAAAAAAGAACAAAATCTGTTTGTTTTCCTGTTGAAAGATGAGACCTCATGTTGGTAAATATTAATGCAGAGTGGAAACGCTTTATTAGAAGGAGGAGCACAAGGCTGACATGACGACCTCTTAAATATGGAGGAGTATCTATAAATGTTTACGGCTTTTATGAACCGTCGGTCAGTAAATAAAGACATTTTTAAGATATAGTTGCATTAAAACTTGAATTACAAGACTTTGCATTACTCAGTCAATGAAATCACAATTTTTCAAGAAAAGTTGCATTTAGGGTCAGTTAAAAGTGTCAACTTTACAACAGTTGGTAAATAATAATTATAAAGAAAAGTTGCATTAAAATTTTAATTAAAAGTCCATTAAAAGTGTCAACTTTGCAATATTATGTATATAATGTTACTTTTACAGCAAAGTTGCATTAAAACCTGAATTAAAAGCATCAACTTTCAGTCAGTAAGATCACAATTTTCTGAGCAAAGTTGCAGTAAAAGTTAGATTAAAAGTGTCAACTATAAAATACTCGGTAAATAATTATATTTTAGAGCAAAGTTGCATTGCATTGAAACTGTTACTTTGCCTTATTTGGTAAATTATGACACTTTCAAAACAAAGTTGCATTATAATTTGCATTAAAAGTCCATTAAAAGTGTGAACTTTACAATGCTTGGTAAATAATGACAGTTTAAAAGCAAAGCTGGATTAAAACTTGCATTGAAAGTGTTAACTTTGCTTTAAAAGTGTCATTATTTGCCAAATATCCACTTAAAAATGCATTAAAATAAATTAAAAGTGCATTATTCTGACACTATTAAAGCAAAGTTGCATTAAAACTTGCATTAGAAGTGTCATCTTTGCATCATTCAGTAAATTAGATCACAGTGTCCTGAGCAAAGATGAATTAAAACTAGCATTAAAAGTGTCATTATTTACCGAATGACGCTTCATCTGTAAACATTTATAAAAACTCCTCCATGTTTCTGACGGCGTCGAGTCGGTTTTATGCACAACCCTTCAAATAAAATGTTACTGAGTTCATTTGGCTTCAGAAGATAAAAACAACAACAAATCAAAGCTTAGTGACGACACATCCCTTCTTCAGGTTTAGCATCAGCAGCAGGTGAAGCCGCCCGGCGGCGCGGAGCCCTGATGAGGCGCTGCTGCGCTCAGTGTCGGCCATGCTGGGCATGCGGAGCCATCAGACCAAGCCAGGAACGGACTTATGCACCAGATAAACGGCCTGTTTCCCGCCGGATCATTACTCTGTTACCGTCGCTCAGCTGCAGAGGCTGCTGCGTTTCGAGGTGAGGCCAGTTTGAGTCGTTCAGAGAGGAGTGCACCTCTGAGTAAGATCTGCTTCAAAAGGTGAAGCTGAAGCTCAAGACGGGAAGCGCCTCAGCAGGAGAAATGGCAACAGTGATGTAAATCTTTAGAATGTAACATGGTGCAATCAAAAGACTATCCACTATTCCCAGCTTTAGTTTCAGTTTTGTTGGCTTTATTTAGCCTCATTAGCTTCGTTTATAGCTTGTGCTCCTAATATCTTAAGTTTTAGATCATTTAGCTATTAGCTGTGAGCAATTAGCATTTTTAGACAAACTTGTTAGTTTGTTCTAAGCCCAACTAGCAGTTTCTAGATGAAATAGCTATTAGCTGTTAGCAGTTAGCTTGACTCTTAGTCTGTTACAGCAGCTTAAGTCTTAGCTTATCTGTCATTTTCTGCTAGCTTAAGCATCTTTTAGCTTGACTCTCAATCTGAGCAGCTTAACCAAAGTACCTGTTAGCTTCAGTTTTAGCTTAAGGAGCAGCTCAGCCTGTGTAGCTGTTAGCTCTAGCGGAGTACTCTCAGTTTGAGTAGCTATTAGCTTAATACTTGCATAGCTTTTAGCTTGGCTCTTAGCTTGAGCTGCTTGTTCCTTAATTCACATATTTGCATATCCATATGCTTGACTTTTAAATTGTTAAACTGAGTCTGACTCTGATTAGCCGTTAGCTGATATTAGCTAAAGTAGCTTTTGGTTTGAATTATACCCAGACCCGCTGTTAGCTTCAGGCGGAGCACTTGATACCACGCTACTCGTTACATTATTATTTATATTCATCACTTAAACTCTGTAGGAAAAATCTTCATTATTCAAGACAAAAGGTTACAACAAAAACAAACTGTTGTGAACATAAAATACAAAAATAACAGTGGTTAACATTCATGCCTCTTCACTGAACTAATTTGAATACCATTAAATTCTTAGGAAAATATATTCTTATGATGTTAAAATAAAGACACAAAATATATGTAAATATATAAAAAACATACATCATAAGGATCTACATCACTATTAGGATAGAAAAACAGCTAAGTGCCTCTGAGTCATGCATTAAACTTTAAAGCTTTTGCAAAAAAGCAGCATCTTCAAACAGCATCTTGCAGAGATTTAGTCAGACGTGCACTTTCTCTGAAGCTACATTCATTTTGAATGTGCACAGTCCTCCATAATGCTGTGATACACCAACCTGAGGCAGTATAAGCATATAAAGCATATACATATAAAAAAAACATACAAGCAGTCAAAATGAAGCCAACGATGAGACTGCAGGTTTTTCTGCTTGCCGTACTAAGGAAGGAGGACGGCACATAAACTGATCTTATATTCTCCGTCATCATGATTTGTGTCCTACATAAGCAAGTTGTCACTTTCAATAAATGAAAACTGGAGCGTGGAGTAATCAGCGCGCCCAGATAGGATTCGAAATAACATTCAAGCTGAACTAATTGAATTAGTTGGACTCTGCAGGCGCCCTCGGTGGTTGTTCTGCAAGATGCCGCTGCAAATACGTCTCCACAGCGACGGTCAATAAGCAGCAGCAGCCATCTTTGTCCGCTAGACAACGCGACCCTCAAAATATCAACGTTTAATGTGTCGTTCTCCTTTCTCAGTGATAACGCCCTGCATGCATTCAGTCTGCTTCATGTTTCTGAAACTCGAACATCCATATGAGGAGACTAACAGATGCGTCTATCAGTAGACGCCGTTAACAGGCACTTACATTCATACTGTACCTTCCTCCAGCCCCTGCTGTCTCATTCCAGCAGGGACTAACAGACAGACCACAGACACACTGCCAGGCCCGGATCGCTGACTGCGATCGGCCGTCAAGCCACAGAAAACCTGAGTGACGTTCAGAAACCTCACAGCTGCACTGATTACATCGGAGCACAGCAGCAAATCACGTTCTTGATTGGCCGAGTAAAGGGACTTTTCCTGCTGCTGCTTGATTAGAGCTGAAATCAGTCGACCCGAGTAAAAAAAGCAGATTCAGACAGAAACAGTACCGTGCAAAACTGTTGAGTCATGCTTTAGCTCTTTGTTTAGACTTCATGCTCGTTAGCCGAGAAAGTTTGGAGTGAAGTGTGAATGTGCAACTGAACTGTGGTTCATCTACAAACCTATTGGTTTGGTTGAACTGAACTCTATAGATATGTTGCAAGATCCTGCTCGCTAACAATGACTAGCATTGGTTTTAGCTGTCAAGTTCTTAACATAACTTGCTAAAATGACTAAAATGTACGCCTGCTACATACAAGAAAAAGGACGCAGTTCTTTGCTACCAATTGCCAACACAACAAGTAGATGAGATCAGAAAAAAGTTTTAATTAAGAAGAAATAGCGAGGAAGAGGAAAGTATCTCAGCTAAGCTAGCTTGACTATGACAACCTTAACATGTAGATGTGCTGTGGAATTCTGTGTTTTGGTTGTTAAAAACTAAAAAAAAAAGTGCACCTAAACACACCAACTCTGACACATCGTCAGTAGAGCAGGAGTTTAAATTAGCAGAGTTAGCTTAGCCAATAGCAGCGGTAGCTAATCCACCACAGCGATCACTTAAAAATAATCACAAAATAAACATGAAGCCTAAAAACAAAACTAGCGGTCTGAATGTTCTTTGTGTGGGAAATGTTTGAGTGTTTTTTGGTGCTGAATCCATTGTTGTCAGTTGCTATGGCAACGAGTCTGTCGTAGCGTAGCCAAAACAGAGAGCGAGAAAAGAGAAGAATACGAGCGGTTTTAATTGACATAATTTATAATAAAAGAAAGAACATTTTAAAAAACGGCTTAACTTAGAAAAGTTAAAAAACATTTAATTGCATGTTAAATAAAAACTTTAAAAAGTTGAGGTAACTTTTTACAAATTTCTCTTAACTCATCATTTTTATTTTAATATAATTTCTGAAGCCTGTAAGTGTTTTGAACTTGACAGCTAAAGTCATAGCAACAAGGAAACTAAACCGAGTCAAGTTGAGTGACCAAACTTTGTTTTACAGTACAACTTTTTCAAAAGGCCAAAAATTTTCTCCTTTTTGTCTTTAGAAAGGCACTGATTAATATATTTTAATGTAGCGTTTATCAACTGTTTTAACCATTTTAAATGCTTTTTTTTTGTGGCATTTGACTTTAATCCTGGTAATCAGACAGGAAGTGGATGAAACATTTCAAATTAATCCCAAACACTGAGCGTTTAAATACCAAACATGAAGTTTTTGCACAGTACTGTACGTGAATAGTTTACATAAATAACCAGTAATCTGTAACCTGAAGGAACATGCTGAAGGTTTGTGTGAACTGGCCCTTTAAGTAGATTGTTTTTTAGAGTGTGCTGCTCTGCAGAGCCTCAGGCGTGTTTTTCCTGCGCTGCTGCATGTCATGTTCGCTCTCTAGCAGTAAATATGGGTCGCTACAGTCCGACTCAGACAAAGCTTCGATTGTTTTTATGCTCTATTTGTATGTTTTGCTCCTGGCTGCTGCGTCGCTGTGAGAGAGAGAAAAAGTCAATGTTGGGACAATCAAAGCATCAGTTCTGCTACAACCATCTTTGACCTTACGAAGCTTAAAGAAACACTCCACCATGCCATGAAGCAGCTCAAAGGGTTTAGATGGTGTCCACTATGTTTACTTAAGTTCTACTGAGAGCGGTGACGTAGGAGAGCTACGTACTAACGAGGGAGTCCCAGTCACCGCTTGACTTCCAGAGGCTTCCTTACTGTCCTGCAGGCACACACAAGACATACGGCTGCAGTTCGACTCCTGGAAACAATCCGGACCCTGAAAGTCGCCGTCCAGAACCGGTTCCAGAACTGGGTTTTATTTTGGGCCGTATTGAGATTATGATGGTCCTCAAAGGGCAGAATGTGAAGATGAAACCCAGAAACAAACGTCTACACAGGAATAAAGAGCCGCGACTTTAACTCATGAGTTACATAATGCTGGACTTTATTCCACATCCATGGGGTTTGGCAGAAAGCAGCAGAAGATTACGACCACTGAAAAAAAAGGATTCTGGGTTTTATTTTCTAAAATCTAAAGTCAAAATTCTGAGAAAAAAGTTCTGAAGTTTTTCCTCAGAATTTTGACTTTTTCTCATAATTCTGACTTTTTTATTCAGAATTTTCCTTTATTCAGAATTAAACATTTATTTTGCTTACATGATTTTTTTCTTTGAATTTTCAGGTTTTTTCTCAGAATTTTAAAAGTTTGTCTCATAATTCTGACATTTTTCTCAGAATTTTCACTTTTTCCTCAGAATTTTCCCCCCTGATTTTTGTCTTTGTTTCAGAATTTTAAGTTTTTCTCAGATTTGATTTTTTCCTGAATTTTGACAATTCTGATAATTTTGACTTTTGTTTCAGAATTTTGACTTTTTGTCCCTCATAATTCTGACTTTTGGTCTCAGAATATTAAAGTGAGACTGATTCTGGTAAATTCTAAGAAGAAAGACAGAATTCTTTTTTTCGGAGTCTCTTGTCCTCTTCCACTGAAAACTGCTTTCCTTTGATTGGTAAAATATTTTTTAAGCATAAACTGTTAAGGCTTCCTCTGGGCCACATAAAGCTTGGTGGCGGGCCGGATTTGGCCCGCGGGCCTCGAGTTTGACACGTGTGCCTGACATCAGATAAAGGCGGTGACGGTTCTCGGTTTACCGGAGGAGCAGAATCGTTCCTACCTGCAGGTTCTTCCTCCAGACGTTGACGGCCGCAAAGGCCAGCTGCATCTGCTTCCTGCGGGCGTCTTTGTGGCGTTTGTAGGCGATTTCGATGAAGATGAGGAAGATCCCCGCTGCAATGCCTCCGGCCACCAGCATGAAGACTCCTGGTGTTGGGGGAGAGACACAGAAAAACGGAAACGGGTGAGGAGCCGGTCTCGGATCACGCCGCTCCCGCTGAGCATGAACGCTTGTGATGCTCAGCGGTCGCCCCGGTTTCCTTCACCAGCTCCAAGTTGACGACAGCGGCTGTAAACAACAACAACGATACCGAAGAACGGCACAGAACTGTCACAGAGCACCCACGCTGACACCAAGAAGAAAAGTACGGCAAAGGTATTGGACAAAAAAGGGCTACAGTAACTTACCACTGCAGTTTTTGTCCAATCACTTTTAAGGCTTTCTCTACGCAGAGGGGACCATACCTGCCATGTTCTCAAAGGTGAGTGTGGCTGGGGCATTGCTCCGTGAGTCACACTCCTGGTATCTCACCCAGGTTTTATCTAGGTCTTCCATGAAGCCGTTCTCATGAGAACTGCAGGGGGGAGTGGGGAGAGAGGTGGACAAGTTAATACGGCGCCTCCGGAGGCAGGACCTTCGAGCCGCTCACTCCCATGTGCAACAGAGACGGATGGTCCAACAGACAGACAGAAACTTGACAAACAATGCTGGAGAGGGAAGATATAAGAAGATGTCACATAAGCCGATGTATTGAGAATGGATGAGGATGAGAGCCACTAAAAATAGAAAAAAATATACTTTTTTCTCAGGTTTATGAGAGAAAAAATCTGAATAAAGACCATCAGCAACCTGACTTGTGATCTCAGAAGATTAAAGTTAAAATGTTTAGATTAAAGTCAAAATTCAGACAAAAAAGAATTCTGAAAAAAAAGTCAGAATTCTAAAATTAAAATCAGAATTCTTAGAAAAAAGTTGGAATTCTGAAATCCTGAGAAAAATGTCAAAATTCTGAGATTCAAGTAAAACTTTGGAGAAAAAAAAGTAAGAAATGTGAGATTAAAATCAGAATTCTGAGAAAAAAGTCAAAATTTTGAGATTAAAGTCAAAATTTTGAGATTGAAATCAAAATTCTGAATAAAAAGTCAGAATTCTGAAATTAAAATTAGAATTCTGAGAAAAAAGTCACATTTCTGAAATTAAAGTCAAAACTCAGAAAAACGAATAAGAATTCTTAGAAAAAAAAATCTAAATTCTGGAATTCTGAGAAAAAAGCCAGAATTTTGAGGCTAAAATCAGAATTCTGAGATTTAAGTCTGATTTTTTTTTTTACTTTTACATTGGCTCTAATCCTCCTCCATAATTGCATATTGAATGACTGTAAACTGTCGGATCGTGACTATAAAATCATACGAATAAGAAAGAAATGAAACAAAAATCAAAGTTCATACGAGAATCGCAGCTTCCGCTGGGACAGACCTGAGAATGGCCAGGGACACATTCTGTTTCCAGGGGCTGTCCTTGCGCATGCCTATGCCAAAGCCCGAACGGAAAAACAGCTCTCCCGTGGTCACCAGGTCGCACTTCTGCGAGGCTTCAAACTCCAGCACCGCAGAGTCCCAGATGAAAGCATGCAGCTTGCTGTGGGGGGGGGAACGGGCAGGAAGGGAGGGAGGAGGGAGGAGGGGAAGGAGCGGGTTATGGTGCAACAGTACAATGATTTACAGACACATTTACGCCTCCCAACCTTCTCTTCCTCGCACACCAAATCAAGTGTCATTCAGCGTTTACCAAATGAACTCCAAGGCCAGATGGTGAGGCGCCTGCCCCATCGGGTTCTGACGTTCGGCCGGGTTTGACCTGGAAAAGGGCGCTCCTACGCTCAACATTAGCTCAACCTCGCGCTCAGCGCCAGGAGTAATGGACCCGGGTCAGAAGGAAAGGTCGCAGTAAGGCCTGCCGCTTCCATCTGGCCCAGCGGTCCATGTACCCGACCGGCCCGCCTTAAACCGGACCGACCCTAATCTGTGTGAAGCAGCCGGCCGACGTACGCTCCGGTCGGCCCGGCCTGGCCGAGACTCACTTGTCACGCACGGCCTGGATAGCCTCTGCAGCACTCTCATAGTTGTGCTTCTCCATGTGGCGGTACATAGTGCTAAGCTCCACCTGTCGTCGGAAGTAGATGTCCACGGAGCTTTGCTTCACCGTGGCGTAGATGAACTTATCGGATGGGTTTCTCAGCTGCACACACAGAAGGACAACAAACATTCATCAGTCCTCTGCTAGCAGTTTGCATTCCTGGCTTGAGTTTGAGCACTTGCTAAGATGGCTGCAAGTAGCTATTAGCTTGACGCAGAGCAGCTGCTAGAATGGATCAGAGCATCAACTACACTGATTTTCAGCAGTTTTTAGCTTTGCAGTCCTGACTTTGCCGAGCTGTTACCTTACATTTGAATACATTAAGTTAGCTCAAAGTAGCTGTTAGCTTGAGTTTGATTATGTTAAGTTGACTGGTAGCAGCTCTTAGCTTTACTCAGTGCAGGCATTAAATAGATTTTGATCAGTTTCAAGGTTGATTCTATGCAGCTATTAGCTTGACTTTGAGCAATTATTAGTTTGAGTTTGAGCATTTTGTAAGTTAGCTGGATGTAGCCGTTAGCCAGACTCAGAAAAGCAGCTAAAACAACTCAGCAGTCGTTAAATTGATTTTGAGCAGCTTTAGCTCGACTCTGAGCATTTACAAATCTTACTTTGGTCAGCTTGAGTTTAAGAATTTGCCAAGTTGGCTACGAGTAGCAGTTAGCTTGACTAAGATCAGGCGCTAAATTAAACTGACGTTGAGCATTGGCTATCCTGTCTTTTTGAGCAGCTATTAGCTTGAGTTTAGCATTTTTTAAGTTGGCTCCAAATAGCAGTTAGCTTGACTAAGATAAACCACTAAATCGACCCCATTGGCCATGAAATTAACTTTGAGTAGGCCGCCAAGTTAAATTCAAGCAGCCATTAAATTGACTTTAAGCAGCTGTTAGCTTAACTAGTTGCATCCTGGTGTAATAAAAGCTGAAAAACGAGCAGTTGAATAAAAACATTCGTGATGTCAGACAGCACCATATGAATGGTTGGTGCGTTACCCACCCTTGGGTCATTGATGCCGGTGATGCGCTCCTCAGGCCGGTCCAACACCAGGAAGGCAGCCAGGTTGGCAGTGTAAGAAGCCACAATGATCATAGCAAAGCCAGCCCACACCATGCCAAGGATTCTCGCTGAAAAGCTGCGCGGTGCACCTGTGTTGAGTTCAAGACCAGTTTTCAGCTCTGGTGACTTAAAATGCTTCCTAGAACAGGTTAGGGTACGTCTATGGCCTATACAAAACATATTTATTACATTTTATGCGAGAAATAATTCTTAGATAATGAGATTTTAGCTGTTTTAGGGCGTCTTGTCACTTTAAATACAAATGAGCTGCTGCTGGCCATCAACTCTCTTGCATGTGAAAATGGCTGCAAACAGATCCACAGTTATACAACCGTAGATCTTTGAGAAGCAGAAGTGGAGCCTTCTGCACAACCAACAAGAATGAAGCAAGTGGTTTCTGGATGGTGAGTCAACAACAAAACACTTGTCTTTTCTAGCAGCCATTGTACAGCAGTAAAACCAGCTGACCAAACGTGCTGGAGCTCAGCGTGGGTTGCTCGGTAACGGGCTGGACTTGACTGGGGTTGCTAGGTAACAGGGCAGCGTCTGTAGATTGCAACTTAACAATAAGGAGTTTTTTGAAACGGCTCATTTTAAAACTTTAACTTGACAAAAAAACAGCTGGATGGTGTTTTTTAATGCTTAGACTGTTTTTAGAAGCAGCTGAGACCAAAATGAAAGTATTAAAAGGTGAAAAAGTGAATTATGCGTAAACTTTGTGAACCTTGTTGATCGGATTTGCTTTAGTCTTGACTGACTGGTGGCTTAGTTTGCTTGTTCTTGGTGTAAACTGATGGATTCAGATTGGTTGTATTTTTCCGGTAGGCCGCTTGCTTTTGACTGATTCTGTCGCCATGACGACCCCTTCCCTGGAAGCTACAGCTTCCTTGGTGATTTTCTTCACCCTGTCAAGAATCCAAAGTGAGGAACCTCCAGACATCCCAGAAGCCATTACCAATGAAAGGCAGCACTGTCTGCCCGCCCTGCAGTGAGCAAACGGACCAAAGCTGCTCATCCCTTCAGCCCACAGAGGGACGCAGGGAGCAACAGGAAGACATCTGATAAAGGTTAAACTTTATAACACCCTGAATGTTCGTTTTAATTGGAGTCGCGATCTATTCAAATGAAGAGGAGTGAAGCCAGGCAACGCTCAGAGCTGCTAGCAGCTAGTTAACATAAGTCTATATCAGGGACGTCAAACTCATTTCATTTTGGGCCGTAATGAGATTCTGAATGTCCTTAAAGGGCCGGTGGTGGTAAAATGTGTTGATGAAACCTGTTAACAAGCCTCTAAAATGTTTATAAATGTTTATTATTTACAATATCAACACTGGTGGAATTTGGTAGTATACATATGAAAACTATGGAAGAAGATTTGACAGCTGGAAAATAAAAAGAATTCTGGCTTTAATTTTCTGAGATCAAAAGTGAAAATTTTAAGAAAAATGTCAGAATTCTGACAATTTGAATGATTTTTTTTCTCACAATTCAGAAATTTTTCTCAGAATTTTCACTTTCTCAGAAATCTACCATTTTCTCCAAATTCTAATATTTTCTCGGAATTTGACTGTTTTTCCAGAATTAATTTTTTTCCAGAATTTTTACTTTTTTCTCAAAATGTTTTATATTTCGCAGATTCTGACATTTCCCCCCCCCAGAATTCAGACTTTTGATATAAAAAAATTAAAGTGAGAATTAATCTTGTAAATTCCAGGGAACAAATCAGATTCTTTTATTTATTTTTTTTGGTGTCGCTAATCCTCTTCTGTTTAAAACTGCTTTCATTTGTTTGATAAAATGTTATTTAAGCATACAACAGTTATTTTCAAGGCTCTATTTATGCATTGCTCTGGGCCACATAAAACTTTAAGGCGGGCCGGATTTGGCCCGCGAGCCTTGATTTTGACATTGTGCTCTTGATGTATTAGTTCCAGTGGCATTTTATTTCACTTATAACATGGAAAAATGTCATGTTATAAGTGGAACTAGAACTTTTTCATCAATATTAAGGGATTATTGACTTAAACAAATTTGCTGAAACGTCACTTTAAGTTAGTTTTGTCTTATTTCAAATGCACTAAGGTACTTGCACTAGAAACTAGAACAAAAATGCTTGGTAACATTTTGTGTTTTTGTAGTGTGGGAACTGCGCCATTACCTAGCAACGCCAGTCGAGCCCAGTTCCGTTACCTAGCAACCCAAACAGAACTCCAGCAGTTTGATCAGCTGGTTAAAACACAGTTGGTAACGTTTTGTGCTTTTGCAGTGAAAATAGCCCAGTTGATTTTATTGCAACGTTAGATAAGCAAATAAGTTGTAAAGTGTGACCTTCTCCAATTCCAGAGTTCAGCAACACTCCCCAGGAGAACCACATGGCAGATGACAAGGTGAGGGCATCTTCTTCCTCTTCCTCACTGTTTACTTTAAATCTTCCAAATGGACTAGAGGGAAGAAATCGGAAGGGTTGCAGAGGATAAAATGAGATGTCTGAGTTCACACAGGGGAATGAATCCCAGCATTTTCCCAGGAGAAGGAGGGAACTGAACATGAGTGAGCGAAGCAAGACAGAGATTAGCTGTCGGAGAAAAGGAAAAAGGCTAAAGACTGTAGCACAGGGACAGAGCAGTGGGATGGTCGGAGGCAATCTTCACCTCGGTCTGCCCTCTCATCCACACTGAGGGAAGATCTGCAGTGCTGAGGAGTGCATATAGACATACACACACTGTGTATACAAACACACATATGGACAAACACGCCCTTCTTGTACCTGAACCGGTCTAGAAGGTAAAGCATCACCGCCACCACATGCACCGAAAGACCCACCAGCAGCCACAGCGTACTCTGGAACGGCTGCATAAATGAGTCCAGCGTACTTCGAGGAATTTCCTAAAAACACATACAGGTTATCAGTGGATTACATCAGAATGACAGGCGCACTGCAGAGGTTGCATTAAATCTGTAGCAGAATGCATTAAGCAGCAACAGTGAAGGCAAAACATCCATAAAACTTCACAACACAGACAAATGAGATCTGAACACAGGTATTATTCCACTTACTAGTTTTTAATTGTAGAAATTTGATTTCTGAACGGTTCTTGATCTGATTTCACGCTGTTACTCTGACTTTGGATAGCTTTTAGCTTACAATAACTGTAAACAGCTGTTAAATCAACTCTGAGCAGATTAGCTTGACTTTAAACACCTGTTAGCTTCACTCTGAGTAGCTGTTAGCTTGACTCTCAGCATTTATTGACTCATTAACTGCTAAATTGACTTTGATCAGCCGTTGAACTAACGTTGACAGGTTTTTTAGCTTGATTCTGAGCAGATTCCAGCTAGAATTTCAGCTTTTGCTAATTTAACTTTGAGAAGATGTTAGCTTGACTAGCTAGCATCTAGTCAAACTAACAGCTGCTCAGAGTCGAGCTCTGATGGCTGCTAAATCAACTCCGAGAAGCCATTAAACTGATTTTGAGCAGTTTTTAGCTTGACTCTTAGCAGCTGTTAGCTAACCTTGAGTATGTATTAGCTTCACTTTGACCATTTGTTAAGTTGGCTCCAAGAAGCTGCTAGCTTGACTCAGAGCAGCCGCTAAATAAACCACCAGCAGCCATTAAATTGACCTTGAGCAGTTGTGAGCTCGATTCAGAGCAGCTGTTAGCTCTAAATTTTGTAAAGTTGGCTCCAAGGAGCTGCTAGCTCAACTCAGAGCAGCCATTAAGTTGTCTTAGCTTGACTGATAGCAGCTGTTAGCCACACAGAGCATCTGTTAGCCTAACTTTGAGAAGCTGACAGTGTTTCTTTCAATAGCTGTTCATTAAAATTTGACCACACTGTTAGCTAGTATCTGGCCAGCTGTTAGCGGGCCAGATGCTAGCTAACAGCTGGCCAGATAATGAACTGTAGCAGCTGAAATAATGTACAAAATAAAAGAAAAAGTTAAATTTAACATGAGGTACCGCAGTAGGACCTCTAGTCAAAAATAGCTGGGCAAAAGGACCATGTGAGTGTTTCTCACCTTTTTGACTAGAATAGTGAGGCCTTGATATTTAAAGGGTTTAGAGAACTCTATGTACTGGGCACGCTCGTTGTTTATGGTCAGCGGGGCCACGATCATGTCAGCCAGCCCACCCAGCAGCTCTCCCATCATGCCGTTCCACTCCTTCTTGTTGCTGTTGTTCACCTGAAGTACAAAAGCAAAGGCATCAATAACCCTGCAGTGCGTAGGAGCGCTAGTCTGCACACACAGATGCGTCAGGCACCAAACTGGTTTGAGGCGGTTCACGTTGCAGGGTGTGCTCTGTCAGAGCATCGTTTGCATCTCCACAGCTTTTTTGGATGTAATGGTGAGCTTTGCATCCCTCTCGGCACTTTTCAGTGTTAGAAGATGTAGCATTAGCCCAGAAACTGTGTGCTAACCTGACCCGACGCTACGGAAAACCAACATGAGCGACTGAAGCATGAAAACAAACTCCTTACGACAAAACATCCTGGCTGACATCCACGATCTTCCCAGCTATAAGTGCTGATTGCTGGCAGCCAAACCACTTTAAGGCTTCCTCAATAATTCATCCAGTAACTAAATATGTTGTTTTTTTTTGTTGTTGTTTTTTTTTTTTACAGAATCTGAGTGTCTGCATGACAAACGTTAAAAAATAAATGCAAGACAAACTGATAAATTATCCGGTAATTACTGCTGTTTTGACACCATTTTCGAGATATTCAGCTCTGGGGGAAAAATTGAGAGAGCACTGCACTGAAAACCTCCTGGTTATTCCACCAAACATGGATTTATGAGTTAAAACGTTAGCATTGTTGTTTATAAACTTGTTTTCTTTTCATTATTTGAGGTCTGAAAGCTCTGCATCTTTTCTGATTTCAAATAATTTGCTTGGAATTTCAGGACATGTCAGTAGTTCATAGAATAACAGAACGATGTTCATTTTACTCATTTACCTATAAAAACGTAAAATTAGAGAAACTGATCATTTTAAGTGGTCTCTTAATTTTTTTCTAGAGCTGTATTTCGTTAATATATTGACCAATAAACCCTAATTTTGTATAAAACACTTTAAAAAGATTCAAAATAAAACATGACACCAAAAACAATAAATAAAAGCTTCTGTGAACAAAGTATTAATAATCCGAATGGAAATTATTGAACCGACTTGGTAAAAATGATCTATATTGATACGACTGAAGTAAATTATGGTTTGTTTGTGCTGCTCTTTGTGGTGTGTGTTTTATTTCTGCTGCAGCGCTACAGTGGGATACCCTACTTTGATGTATTATGAATAAGGACAGAGGTTATTTTTGGTTCAGCCTCTTCTCCTCTACGGATCTCTGCAGTAACCTCAACCCAGATGAAAAGTGGACTCCTGCAGAACTTCCCATAAAAGTACTAACCAAAAACTGACTTAAAACATTTAAAACGATGCATTTAACAACCACAGGATGCTCTCTATTCTTCTTTTACTTTATGCTTAAATTGTCTACAATAACTAGAAAACAAAAGGTGACCCATTGTGCTTCCTTGATCAGTTTACTATAGGTCTATGGCCTATATAATACATGTTTGTTACATTTTATGCAGAAAATCATTCTTTAATAAAGAGATTTTAGCTGTTTTAGGGCGTCTTGTCAGTTTGAATCTAAATAAGCTGCTGCTGCCCATCAACTCAAAGTTTAGACTCGCACATCAAAATGGCTGCAAACAGGTGCTTGATTACACAGCCTTACATCTTTGAAAAGCATTAGTAGAACCTCCTGCACAACCAACAAGTGGTTTCCGGATGGTAAGTCAACAACAAAACACTCGTCTTTTCCAGCAGCCATTGTACAGCGCATACAGCGGTAAAACCAGCTGACCAAACTAGATGGAACTCAGCTTGGGTTGCTAGGTAACGGGCTGGAGCTCACATGTGGTTGCTAGGCAACAGTGGAGTGCCAGGTTGTGACTTAGCATTTTGGAGTTTCTTGATATGGCTCATTTTCCAGACACCAAAAAATATTAATGTATTGCTAAAAAAAATCAGCTAGATGTTTTTTTGTTGTTTAAGTGCTTTGTTTGTTTCTACAAGCAGAATAAATCCAAATATTAGTACAAAAACGTCCAAATTGATAAAGTTAAATAGAAATTAATGAATGCTGCTCCTAGATTGGCTGCTTTGCAAACACCAACCAATAGCGTGCAAATTAGTGAGTTTATCTGTATGAAATGTGTCTTTTTTTACCCGCTCTTGGGTTCCAAACTTCCCATCAGCCACCAGGTGGACCTCGTAGGTGAAGTTCATGGTCATGGCCAGTTTGATCAGCAGGTCGACACAGAAGCCGTAGCAGCACTGCGGCACGATGGGACGCCCTGCCGGAAAACCACCAACAGTCATGCTGGACGTCACATTTATACGTTTTAATATAAATATAAAGGAGGAAGAGACTTTTGAAACGCTGCGTCAGAACGGATGCTGCATTTTCATCTAAATAGATCAGAACTGAAAAGTGAATTTATTTCAGATTGTACTCGTATGTTACGGAGATTATTTATTTTTGGAGTGAAATATTCCAGCTTAAGCTTTTTCTCCTTTAATATTGACGATTTCCAGGTCATGAAAACCCAATATTCAGTTTCTAAGATGCTATAAAATATATTTTTATTAGAGAAATGTCAACCAGAAGAGATGTCGATGTACCGTTTTCAATATTCTCAACAGTTTACCCCGTCTTCACAGTCCTATCGAGGGTGCAATTTTCCCTGTTTGTCGATTTTTTGCTCTAGCACATTTTTTCCTTCCACTAAATTTCCCATTTTTCATCCTGTGGCTTATCCACTTTGTGGAAGGTGTCACTGATTGTCTGCTGGACCAGATTGTGTCTAATAAGTGTTTGAAATAAATCCCTCTGTAGGTAATGAAACTACGTAACCAATTAATTCACTGTTTTCTGAACTAATTTAACCTCTGAATGATATCCTAACTTACTGTATATGTGATGAAATGTGTCTGTTGTTTTACCTGGGATGGTCTCGTTGGGCCCGGTACAGATGACCTTCTTTATAATCACTCCATTTAGTGCCTTTTCCTCGTTGCACGTCCCGTCTTGCATCGTCGGTTTCACATACACAAACGGCTCCTGGTGAATCGTCACGATCTGCAGCAGGTAGACAGTTCAGATTAAAAAGCATTAAAAAGACTCCTGAAATTAAGGCAACACAAAATGACAATTTAGCAAAGGAGGATAATCCGTCTGCAGCTCGTTAGTTAAATCCACAGATCAAATCTGAAAGTAAAGAGTTAGGATTTATTGATCTTCAAAGAGCTGAAAACCTGCAGTAGATTAAACATTTGCAATTTTAGAAACAGATGGATAAATCATACACTGCAAAAACACAATCGTACCAAATATTTTTGATTAATTTCTGGCGCAAGTAACTTTGTCAACTTGAAATAATACAAAACTGACTGACAACTGTTCAGTTAAATACATGAGCTTGTTTTACATTGATTAATAAATACTGGTGATTGGTAGAATATCTGGCAGTGGAACAAGAAATGTCCCCATATATTAAGACTTCAGGTTTACTAACATACTTGCAGTAGAAACTAGAACAAAAATATTTGGTAAGGTTTTGTGTTTTTGCAGTGTTACACCACTTGAGCCAAAATTCGTCAGAAAAATAAATCTGTGCGTCTCTTTAGTTGAATCCACTGAAAAGTAACTGAAAAGATCAAATATCACTCAAAAATAGGAATTTGTGATTTTCAAAATAGCTGAAAACTTGTAGTAGCTAATCAAACGGCAGCCCTAAGTTCTGCTTAGGTTGCTAGGCAACGGAGCTGGACTTGGCTGGCGTTGCTAGGTAACGGCAAAGTGCCCACAATGCAGAAACACAAAATCTTATCAGGTATTTTTTTTATCAAGTTTCTACTGCAAATATCTTAGTACACTTGAAGTAAGACAGACTAACTCAGAGGTAACTTTTCAGTGATGTAAAGGAACTAATTTTAAGCCTAATGTTGATGAAAAAATTATAGTTTTACTGTCTTAACAAGATAAGATATTTTTCCATAAGTGAAATAATCTGCCAGTGAAACTAGAATTACTTAAAACAAGCTCATATATTTTGCTGAAAAGTTACTTCTGAGCAGGTTTTTCTCATTTCAAGTGTACCAAGACATTTGCAGGAGAAAACAGACCAAAAATACTTGGTAAATGTTGTGTTTTTGCAGTGCAGCGCAGCTCCTGTGGTGTGAGAACATTGGATGGATGTGTGTGTGTGTGTGTGTGTGTAGGTGGCAGCCGTGTCCGAGTCCGCTCACCTTTAATCGGGTCGACATCTGGAAGCCCTGCGGTTTCTCCGTCTCCCCTCCAGGCCAGATGATCTTGCGCTGATTGTTCATCACCACCTGCAGCGACGCCGGACACGCGGCCGCGTTAGCGCTGAGCGCTGACAGAAGGCTCGCTGCTGATGAGGCTCCACACACCGCGGGTGAGCATCACTAATGAGTCAGCGTGGCTCCGCCGCGGCTCAGCGATTCTGTTTTTATTGCCTTCACCTCTGCTCTGTGTTACACCTGCAGCAACTCACCAACATTCAACCCGATCTGAGCCGTCCAGTCGGGTTTTCTTCTTTTAAAAGCTTCCAGGCGACACAAGGAACAAAACTAACATCTTATATCAGTGCTGCAGCGCCGAATACTTTAGTAATCCTTTACTCTATCAGTTATTCTGACGGTTAATTGATTAATCAGATCCAAAACATTAGCATATTCTGCAGATTTTACTTATTTTATACAATATTAGAAATATACACTAAAGGTTTCCCCCAGAAACTTGCTGAGCTCGGTGGTTGGGTGCGAAGGCAGTCGTGTTTTTGAGTTAAAAAATGTTTAAAGTTGACAGGAAATTTGAAAATAACACTCAATAATTATGTGTTATTGAAAGATTAACACGTGAACACCAACTATAAAGCCTTAAAAAAATGAAAAAACCTTTAAAGAGACTTAAAAAATTAAGCAATGCTAAGCCTGGTGGGGTCACAAGTAAAGCCTGGTGGCCCGCCAGGCTTATAATACACTGAGGGAAACCCTGACACTGCAAAAACACAAAATCTTACCAAGTAGTTTTGTCTAGTTTCTAGTGTTAATATTCAGATATTAAAAGGAATTAAAATAAAAAAGCGCTTAAAATAAAACTAAACTAACTTACAAGTAACTTTCTAGCAAAAAATAGGAGCCTGACTTAAGTAAATAACTCCAAAAAAGTTCTAGTTCTAGTTTTATTTTACTTATAAAATGGGAAAAATGTCTTATTACAAATTAAATAATCTGCCAGTAAAATTTGCACTTTTTTAAAGGCATTATTGACTTGAAACAAGGTTTTATATCTTGATGAAAAGTTATTTGTAAGTTATTTTTTCCTATATCAAGTGAACAAAGATATTTGCACTAGAAATTAGACCAAAAATACTGGGTTGGATTTTGTGTTTTTGCAGTGTAAATTTGTTTTATGTAATATTAAACATACAAGACAAAAAAATACAAATAAAAAAAATAAAGAAAATAAACATTGCCTAAAATGAAGTGAATTAAAATAAAAATTATCCTGATATCAACATGTGGAAAGTTCTGCTTTTTCTGATTGATATTATCAATATGTAGGACTGATCTGCTGATTCCTTTTTTCTATTAATCAACTAATAATTTAATAGCAGAAGATGATTAATAGATTTATCTTGCAAATTTAAACCAGGAGAAGCTAAAACTTCGTCTTGAAGAGTTTTTGGTAAAAACAAAGAAAGTCTTTTACATTTTATAAGCAAAATGTTTATATTTTGTGCAGTTTTGGATTAATTACTGCTCTGAATAAATTATTCTTTCATAAAATGGTCTTTTTATGAATCTGTTTACACAAGTTAGCGATTTATCGATTAGTTGAAGATTATGTCAATAACAGATTAATCGTGATTAATCGTTTCAGCCCTAGTTTATATGCATTTCTAGCCCACTGTAGTGAAAAATTCTGTCTAAATGCCCCATTTGCTGATGACGTTGTGATGCTCAAACTGATTCTGCATCCAGACTGGATTTAATTCAAACCAAATAACCAGCAAAAAGAAACAAAACACTAGTTAGAGTTTTAATAACCGTTACCTGCGTGCCGTTATAAATGCCAACTTGAACCAGGCGAGACTTCTGGTAGTTCAGAATAGTGTAGTGGGCGTATTTCCTGTCTCCGTCGTCGTTGAACTCGACGCGTCCCGTCAGACCCTCCGGATATTTGGACGACATCAGCACTCTGTGGCAAAAAGAAAAATATTATATATAAACAAATGTGTGTTTGTGTATTACGATTAACTACAGTGGAAATAAGAAATAAAAGATAAAGTCAAAATAAAATTAGAATAAAGTCAAAATTATGAGAATAAAGTCAAATTTGGAGGTTAAATCAAATCATAAAGACATTTTGAGAAAAGAAATTTAATACTGAGATAAAATCCTATCATGGAAATAATATAAAATTATGAGAATAAAGTCATAAAATTACAAGAATAAAGTGAAAATAATATGAAAATAAAGTCACATTTTGAGAAAAAGTCGTATTATAAGAACATAGTCATAAAATTACAATAATAAAGTTGAAATAAAGTCAATATCATGATTATTCTCTCAATATTTCAACTTTCATCTTGTAATTTTATAACTTTATTCTCATAGCGTGACCTTTATACTTTTTCATAATATATATTTGTGTTAGAAAGTGAATGGATTCATGCAGACATATGTTTTCATCTGCACAGTTTAAAAGTTTGATTTAACATGAATTATTTCCGGCTGTCAGATGCAGCAAATCGACACATTTCTATTGTAAAATATAACAATCATGACAGCAAACAGGCTCGACTGTTTGCAGCTGCATCAGTTTTTATAAACTGCGTTTCCTTCAGTGACGCAGCAGCGAAGCCTCTTGTATCTAGGTCAGCTCCATCTGCAGGATGCAGAACCTCAACTCCACATTCTCTGCATTTTCAGGAATAAATTCAGAAGAGAAGGCATAGAAAACACACAGCAAGTCAGCTGGCATGAAGAAATGGTCAGACCATGATGAGTAAATATCTGTTTTCATTTAAATGAGGTGTAGGAATGATGGGTGGAGCTTTAGGTTGTCTGACCGACGCCTCACCAGTTTGAATCTTAGTTTTCTCATGCAGGTTAGTCGTTGTTTGTTTAGTAGTCGGTCATGTGACAGATTCAAACAACCAGCTTTACGCTAATTGCATTGCTGCACCTGTCCAGATGTTACAATGACTGCTTGTTATTGTTGTGGAATAAAACGACTGATTTTGCAGCAACTTTTCACAAAAACTTTGTCAAAGTTTCTCATTTTTCTAAACTTTACTTTCCCATCGAAAAAGTCAAGTTCCCAAAAAACTGACAGGACTCCCATATAGTTTATAATAAAATAGTGAATCACATTTCAAGTGTCTTATTGAAATAATACCTCAAATACAAAAAACTGCAGAACAGCTGAAACACTGAGTTCCTTTAAATCTGGACTAACTCCACCTGTTTTGATTTGTTTGTGAACCATAATAAATGAAACATTGACCAACATCTTGATGAGTAACGACGACAATTAACAAAATGTAACGTTTACACTGAAAAACACAAAATCTCACCAAGTAATTTTGGTCTAGTTTCACGTTCAAATATATCAGACAAAACTAACTTAAAATTAACCTTTTAGCAAGATACAGAGGCTTGTTTTAAGTCAATAATTCCTGAATACTGATGAAAAATTACCAGTTTAATTGGCAGATAAATTAACTTACAAAATGGAGAAAAAAGTTGTTGCAAAAACAATAAAGAAATAGTTTTATATGTTACCATTAAGTGTCACGCAGGCTTTCAATGAATTCAGAGGTGTCCAAATGTTTTTACATTAAATTTAAAAAGCAAAAAATGTGTATATTGTGATTTTTATTTTTACCTGCTTGAAAATAAAGAACATTTTCATAAAGTCTATAAATCCTTAAAAAAAATGACAATTTCCAAATTTGTTTTCTATTTTGTTGGTGAAATTTTTACGTTTTTGACTTGAGGTCATCGGGCCGATCAAAATCATTTCAAGGACCACAAATGGCCCCCGGGCCACACTTTGGACTCCCCTCTCTGGGCGTCAGAGAGACGTTGTGAAACAGGAAGTTAAATTCGGCTGGATTGGTCGAAATCCAGGCGAGTTGCAGTGATTGGTCAGATTTATGTGAAAGTTGCAATGATTGGTGAAGATCTAAAATCAGAGCAAAGTGTGTGAATGTTGAGTGGTTTGTGGCGAGCGCACCGTTTAAAAAGAGGCCCCGTCTTCCAGATGTTGGTGTTGCCCACGCAGCCCTTGGGCGGTTCTGTGATGTTCTCCTTCTCAAACAGCTCCTGGATGGACTGGGCCACCACCGCCACGGCGTCGGTGATGTGGGCCGATTCGTTCTTCCCATTGATGAGCTGGAGGGCGATCAGACCTGAGACCCGGCGGCAACAACACCGTCACCAACAGGAGCGAAAAAATACACTTCGGACCCCCACACCACCAGGGGGCGCCCAGGAACACCAGACTAGCACCATAAAATATATATATATACTTATAAAATAACATTGAATAATACAAACTAAATGACATTACACATGGAGAGATTGTTGTTACAGTTGGTACACCAATTAATATCTTCCTGCCGTTGACTGCTGTCACTGTTGGGGAAATATAAGATATCAAACTTAATTTGTTTCCTGTAAATTTAGTTTTTATCAGCTGATGTTTTATTTCAAATAATTAAAATAATATTACACACTTAAATAAAAAATCCAGAAAATGTGCCAATTTATTTTAAGTTTGTTACTCCTGTAAGGTTAAAATCAATAGAAAATATAACATTAGCATGACGTAAGCTAATTACAAATTATGCCAATGTTACACATGTATGCTAGTTTAGGAATGGTATCATGTTGGTATGGGAAAACCCCAAATGAAAATCTGGACTAATTTATTATCTCTACAAGCACAAACCTGAAGTACGTTAGCATGTAAAGGAGAATATTGTCTGCTTTTTAAACGAAAATACAATTACCATTTTTAAAGGCCTATAAAACACTAATGTTTTTCATCAAAGGGGACCTATTATGCAAATTTCCCTTTTTGCATGTTTTTATACTTTTGTTTGAGTTTCTGATGTTTTTTTAAAACCAGTCCAAGAACTTAAAAAACCACCCAGTTGTTTTTTAGTGACTGATAAATGAGCCGTTTCAAAAACCTCCCAATTGCTGAGTCACATTCGACGGGCACTTCACCGTTACCTAGCAACCCCAGCGGAATTCCGCCCGTTACCTAGCAACTGAAGCTGAGTTCCACAACGCTTGGTCAACTGGTTTTACCACAGTAAAATGGCTGCTGGAAGAGATGTGTTTCCAAATAAATCCAAATAAGCAGCAGATTATTTGGATTTGAAGTGACAAGAGGCCCTAAAACCACCCAGCCTGTTCAAGGAAGGCTGAACAGGTCACCTCAATAGGTCACCTTTAAACAAAACGACAACTAAATTACTTCAGTTCTGAGTGTCTGAGTCTATTTAATCCTTAAACACAGAAGGTTGAAGAGTTTAGCACAACATGCAGGTGTTTCTGGTATTTATCTGATGATTACTAGCTAATCTCTGGGATCCTTCATGTGTTTCTGTTTGATTATGGACCAAACGTCGGGGCGGGTTTCTGGCTGGACGTACCGTCTGGCGCCTCGCTCAGAGCTTTACCGGACATCTCCCGCTCCCCCACCAGCCACACGTAGCCCGAGCCCGTCATGTTGAGGAAGCGGGCCGCCTTGTACACGGCGGCAGCATCGTCCTCGCTGGAGATAAAAACAGAAAAATATTACACTGCTTCCGTTTGTTGGGACTTAAACCCTCGTTATGTGAAATGACAGGAAGCGATCCTGATGGTAGCTTTTGTGTAACTCATATTCTGTTGCCACATTTCTCTGCTTTTTGGATACTGTGCAGCTGGAAGCGTTTTCTGCTCTCTCTTTTTTGGTTTTTATGGTGTGTAGCCATGGCAACAAGCTTGTTTTTACAAACGGAAGCAGCTGATTAGCATCTCAAAAGCTGAAACATCACCTGAACTACGACAAATCTCAGAAGAGCTGGAAAGGAGACCAACATTTAAAGAGGAGCAGCAAAAGCAAAGGAGGTGGATTAGCAGCGCTTGACACAGGACATTTCTGCTGCCTGGATATTGAGGTCCAAGAAATCTCTCAAGTAAGAGTAAAAAAGTGTTTGGTAAAAAGTCTACTGAAACTATCAGTCATTTAATATTTAAAAATTACATCATCAAATGGACTAAAAACTAAATTTAAGTGGAAATTTTTGTATTTTAAGGACCAAAATGACAATAATTTATGTAAGTAACAAAAAAATGACAAAATCAGGCAAAATAAAATGTTTCCAAATAATTTTATTTCAATAAAAAACTTATTAAACTTTAACAGAACCTCCAGGTGTGTGTCTGTTTATGGTGAGTTTTTGGTTAAAACATGTTTGTTTTTCATTCAGTGGGTAGAAAATCCAGAAATTTTACTCAACTAAGAGCAAAAATGCTTCATAATAAAATTACTCAAAGTACAGAATAGTAAAAATACTCCTAAAAGTAGATTATTTCAAAAAGTTCCTCAAATAAATGCAGCCAATTACCACTAAACTGCATTTATATTTGTGGACCTACACTGCATTAAAGACTTTGCATATTTATCTCTGCTGACCGTGCAGCTTCTTTACCTGCTGAACTGGGCAGAAAGGTGAAAGGTCGCCTCACCTGGCGGACAGGATGATGACCCGGGCCTCCAGCTCTTTGGCCTCCAGCAGCAGCGCGGTTAAGTTTGTCTCCTGACTGAACTGTAGGACTTTCTCTGCCTGCGGTTGGGGCAGAAGAAAGGTCAAGCCAGCTACTTTTCCCGAGCACAGACACCATGCTGCCGCTTTACCTGCGTGGTACGAGCGTGGCCAATTTGGTTTGAAAAAACGAGAGACAGAGATTAAAAAGGAAAGCGATCCAGGGGAACCGGCTGAACTAAAAAAAAGAAAAAGCTTGAAGGGAAAAAAACTTTTGCATTTGTCTGCATGCAAACTGAGGGTTATGTCAAGGCTCCAAAGAAGAACGTGCATGTGTTAGGTAGAGGGGGAGAAGAAGGTCAATGCAACCAGTAACTAAAAACAGGTGAAGAGGGGAGTGAGGGGGCGTTCTCCCTCCGAAAAGATAAAGAAATCAAATCAAGAAAATAAAAACTGCTGAAACCAGGGAGGTGCTACGGAAAGGGAGGAAGTAGCATCTGGGAAGTCTGAGTCCCAAACTACCGGTTCTCCACAAAGGAATGGGCTTGCAAACTGTTTTTTTTTTTTTTTTTCGTATGTGTGAGTGTGTGTGTGTGTGTGTTTTTAAGAACATGCATTCCTTCATTACGGAAAAAAAAAAATTTAAATGAGAAAAGCCGGGCTCTGTTCTCTTCTTCTTTTTTTTTTTTTTCTGGAACAACCAAAAAAAAATCTAATTTTTTTTCATACCAAAATCATTCTTTTTTTTCTTTTTTTTTAATTATAGGGAAATGTCTGAAAGTAAAAACTCAAAGAAAAGACGTGCTACCAAGAGAGAGGGGGGCATTTCTGGGTCGGCTGGTGACTGGTTTGGGCTGGTTTCTAGTTGCTACGTTTGGAAAGTTGGTGGGCGGCGTGCATTGACCATGCAAATATACCTTAGGTCCTCGCTTGTTGTCATAGGACAGTTGGTCGAGGTTTTCATAGTTCCTTTTTTTATTCTGATGAGTAATGTGCACAGAGAAAATATGCAGACACAGAAAAATATTATAAACAGTTGAAAATGGAGGGCAGTAAAGCATTCCAACAAATCTCCACTTTTCTGCTTCAAATTGGGAGCTTTAACACTGGGGCTTGCAAAGAACATCGCCACAGGAACCAGAAACCACCGAAATGTGCTGGGAAACAAAGATCAGGAAGGTTTACTGTGCTTAAGATGAGGTCCTGACGTAAACGCAACATTTTAAATCTTATTCAAATGTTTTTGTGCTTCCATTTCGGTCTCATATGATTATAAAAGTTCAAGAACTTAAAAAAAACAACAACCAGCCGTTTCAAAAACCTCCCGACTGTCAAGTTACATTCAAAAAACTGTGAAATCTTACAGAGTATTTTTGGTCTGGTCTGTAGGTCAAATGTCTTGATAAGACAAAACTAACTAACAAATAAAATGTCAGCTTATTTTTTAATAATATAAATACACTCTACAAGGAGTAGAGAAAATATGTTCATTACATTTCTGCAGTCAACAACCAAACTCCTGTCTTTACCAGCAGCCATTTTAAAGCGGCTGACCAAACTGCTGGAGTTCTGTTGGCGTTGCTAGGTAACAGGCCTGTGCTGGACTGGCGTTGCTAGGTAACGGGCCTGGGCTGGACTGGCGTTGCTAGGTAACAGCAGAGTGTCCAGGCTACAAAAAGACAGAATCTTACCAAGTGTTTCTGGTCTGGTTTCTACTGCATAAGTATGCAGTAGAAACTAATGCAGTTAGTTCATTTGAAATAAGAGAGAACGGACTTACAAACAGCTTTTCAGCTGTTTTATTAAAACAAGCTTAGCAGCTTGTTTTAATAAAAATTCCTTAATATTAATGAAAAGGTTTTAATTCCACTGGCAGATTATTTCACTGGGAAAAATGTGTTAGTAGAAGTGAAATAATCTGCCATGAATTATTTTCTTGTTGATGTTGAAAATACCAAAATCTCTACATAACTTTATACTTTAGCCCGTCAGTCATTTAATTTTTAAATATTTAAATATTAAATGATTAATGTTTTTACTTGAATGTTACTCAAGTAAAAATGTACTTTGAGTAACATTTTTATTTATACTTTTTTAACAGGCAAGTTTGGGTTTTAACAAACAAGCTAACAACAGAAGTTTTTGTGTTTTCTGCTCATTTCTGTTCATCTCAGCGCCCAAAATAAATCTCTCTTTACGTTCTTTATGCTCTTTTTTTCCCCTTAAGTGGCGCCGCATCAAAATTGCATGGTGGATTTTTAAAAGGCAGAAGAAACCTGGCACTTTGTGTCTTTTCTCAGCAGTTTGTGCTTTAATAATTTACAGCTTCTCCAACTTGCCTGCAGCTTTCGACCTAGGCTCTTTTCTCCTTTTACAGAATGTTGCATCAGCTCTTCTTTGTAAAGAAACAAAGATCTACTTTTATAAATTCAAAACACTGTATTTTTGAAAAGTATGCAGAGTTATTTAGAGTTATTGACACAGCAAACCTCATCCTAAAGGAATATTTTATTCTGTAGCCTGATTATAGTTTAGATAGAAAAAAAGGAGTATAGTTTTGCCAAAATACGGAAATTTCTGAGTTTGAAAATTTGCTAATTTGTGAGAAAAATCTCAGAAATTTTGAGATTAATCTCAGATTTTTTTTTTTTTAGGAAAAACTTGAACATTACTGAGTTTGAGAAGTTAAAAATTAGTGAGAAAAAAAAATCAGACATTTTTAGATTTTTAGAAAAATGGGACAATTTTTGAACTGAAAAAGTCAAAAATTTGCAAGAAATTGAAACTGGAAAAAAAAGATTTAAAATTGAAAAAAATGTTAGAAACTGACAAAAAAAATGTAAATGAAAGCAAAGATATCAAACAGAAGAAAAATGTTCAAAACTACTTTTCAGATTCAAGGTTTGATTTTTGTTTTTTCAGATTCTGATTTTTTTTTTCAGTTTCAAATCTTACTTTTTTCTTTTGAACAAACTTTGTGGCACCAATTTAGCTCCATAGATGACTGTCTTTTGTACTGCCTGACTTGGCTTAAAGGTTTTGTCGGTTTTATTTGGCGTATGTAAACATGTGGCTCTAGCTGCAGGTTGTGTGGGAAATAGAAACACAACATGTCAGTTTTATTGACAGAGTTGAACCCAGTGATGCGACAGCAGATACATTATTAGTCCTAGAATCAATTTTCTCTCTGTTTTAGTCTGTTTGTGTGGATTTTCAGTCCTCATCCTCTCCACTCTGAGCTTTCGGTGCAATAATCACTTCCTGACCTGGGATATATTTCCACAGCAGCTATAAAACGTTGAACTGGTGCTGCAGTTGTGTCTAAATATACACTCCTGACTGGAGTCTCGCAGGAAAACGAGCGGCGGCGTTAGATGGAGAGCACAGATGGGCTCATTCTGACATCCAAACTGCATCGTGCATAAAAGCAGCTTCCTGGATCCTCATCACAGGATTTTAATTGTCTGTTTTTTCTCCGTAAATGCAGGATGTGACTCTGGGCTAAATGATTTGAGCTGAGTAAATGGCAGTGTGATTTTTTTTTTCTGAAGTGTTTCCTGTTGGCGTCTCGCGCCGATCCCAGCAATCGGAGCAGCTTTCGCTTCAACTTGGGCAAACAGCCTCGGGTGGATGTCATATTCTGAATCTCTGCAGCTTCTGATTTAATTAAGCCTCCAAATCGGGACTCATTTCACTCCAGCACACAATTACAGCAGAAACTCGCCCCGAGAGGAGCGAGAACCCGTCCCGCAGAGATTTCCTCCATTAAATGGATCCAGCTCAGGTTCAGTCTTTTTATTCTAATTCTGTTTCTTCCTAACGGGGAAACTTTGTCATGTTGTAACTCTGAATTCAGCTGACAGCAAAATTCAGGAAAATGATCCATTTTCACTTTTTCTCATGTTACAAATGCAAATTTGAATGAATTTTATTTTGGATTGATTATTTGAATTAGAAGATGCAAGTAAACAAATCATTCAGTTCCTTATTTTAATGATAAAATAAACATTTTATTACCTAAAATGCAAAAATATATCATCCCTTTAGTACGTCTGAACTGGGTGAAGCTAAAATTAACTTTTCAGTAAAACTAATTTACAATGAAAGTGTTTTTTATTTTAAATAAAAAATGTGTAAAAATGTTAGCAGTTTGGTTTAATTACTGCTATGAACACATAGCAGAACACATAGCAGAAAAAAGTCATTTTTCAACAAATGACTTTTTCAGTCTGTGTGCTCCAATTCACGATTAACTGATTACTAAATAAGTTGATGATTATTTCATAATTGATTCAGCCCTTTTAAAACAACTTATTCAAGTTTATTTTTGTCATTTTCCTTTGTAAAATGTTTTATTAGCTGCCTTCAGGAGTCAACAACACAAACATGAACAACAACGGAGGGAGGAGAGAAATATTTTCTCTGAAAATACGTCACTATTTTCAGTTTGTTTCAGCTAAACATGAAAACATTCAGCTTCATTTTACATTCTGTGCCGGTGACAAAGTTTTATTCAGCTTCAAAAACACGATTAAAGAGGAATTTTCAGCAAGTAGGGAAGCAAAAAGCTGCAACTAATGCAGGAGGTTTCCGCACACAAACAACAAAAGATGGAATTTGGTGCAAAAATTCTGTTTTTCTTCAAATGAAAGCAGGAATTTGTGCTACGTCAAGTCAAAAAAGATTAGTTTTTATTTAATTTTTTAAATAAAAAATACACATTTTTGCCAGAAAACAGTCAGGAGAAACATTTCTGACATTAGCGTTAAACAACACAGAGACATCTGTGATGTAACTAATAAAGTAACTTGTAATCCAACTACTTTTGAAACCAAGTAATCAGTAAAATAACCGTAAATTCAGGTGTAACAACAGAACCTACTTATGTAGATTCAAACAGATGGAAAAAGTATTAAAATATATATAAAATAAACCAAATTAAGGTTAACTTACTAAGTTAGTATTAATATTAAGTGTATTTGAGAAGCTTTTTAGGGTAAGAAAGCGCTAGAGAAGTGATTTAATTAAAATTTTCTTTTTAGTTGGATTACTTTTTCAAGGTGTTTTTATTAAAATATGTTAACCCTAACAAAAAATCTATTTATTCTGTCTGAATGTTTATGTTTTTAATTTTATAATCTTTTGCAGCTTCTTGTGTAATTTCCCTATAAAATTTTTTCCATAAACTCAACAGTTTCCTTGTCTTTTCTGTAGGAAATTATCCCACAGCATGATGCTGCCACTGCCTTATTTCCCTGACAGGGTGTTCAGGATGATGTGCAACGTGTTTATTTTACTTTCTTATGTTAAATTGTGCAAATAAAACTAAAAAAAGCTTAATATTGTATCCCTTCTGGAAAATGAAAAACATTAAAATTTGCATCTGTAACGCGACAAAACATGCAAAAGTTTCCACAGTAAAAAAAACAAACCCTGGAACCATTTTTGTTTTTCTGCGATGGTTTGCAGAGCCCCATGTTAAAGTCCACTATTTGGCTCCCAGTGTGGATAGACACAAGATAATTTGGACTGTGGCGAAAAGCAACGTGAAGATGAGCAAATAAACATACAAACTTCTGTCAGATTAGACCACATTAGACGCTGTTGATGTCTCTGGGAATGTTAGCCAATGTTTACACAATGGTGAGAAAGAGATGTGCTCAGACAACAGAGAGGGAAACAGCTAGGTACACAGAAGATCTCCGAAAAACACTCGCACACACTCGTGCTCACACACTCCCTAAAGGTGGAGGGAGGAGATGAGGGCGGGCCGCAGCGCCCCGGCGTCTCACCTTTGTCTCCCGCTCCTCCAGCAGCGTCTCCAGCCTCTTCTGAGCCGCACGGCCCTCGTGGTCGTCGCTGACGATCAGGATGATGTGGTTCCAGTTGAACTCGCGCATCAGGTCGAACCAGACGTGAGCTTGGTGGGAGTACGGCGGGACCGTCCGCAGGAAGGACAGGTGGATACTCTGAGGAGAACCGAGCGGGAAACAGAAACTTCACAATAATTCACCGTCTATTAAGAGATTAATTTCAGTCCCTGCAGCAGCGGGAGAACGTGGTGAGCTCTGTAAGGTAACCTGGAAGTCTCTGAAATGTTATATGCAATTCTAACATTTCAAATTTTAAAATTACTTTTAAAATCAATTACCTTTCAAAGTTCACTCCAGGATGTTTTTCCAGAGTTGTGAAATCCTCCCTCCAATGTTAATGGAGATCTTCCAAGGCCTCCTTTAAATTTTTAATGCCTCTGCTTTTTTTTTAACTCATCTGATTGCTTTTAAGAGTTCATTACTGCGGTTTGTGCGTCACAGCTTTTTTTTTTTTTTTTTAACATCAGGGGCAATATTAATAGCAGACTTTCGACTTTCATGTGGAAAGCCGTTTAATCACAGCTCCCCTAATGGACGCTGATGGGACGTTTAATCTAGGAAGCTCTTGAAGGCGTCCCTGGGGAACTCCGTAATTCGTCTGAGTGCCGACTCTCCAGCCGTGTTCATCCGTCACTCACCTTGTCGGAGTAGATGGACATGCGCGTGGTGAGCCCCACCACCGGGATGCGGTAGAAGCCCGCGGTGTAGGAGACGGGCGTCGGGGTGAGATGGTCGCTGGACTGAGGCGGGTGACTCACCAGGATGGCGTAAACCTGCAGGAAAAGACGGATGAAAACGCTGATAAATCACAACACTAACATTTATTTATTTATTGAAATGTTTCATTTTTGTATGGAGATACAACAGGGTCATAAATGTGGAAAAGACTTCCAGAAAACTGCAAATCCGTTAAAAACTCACCTGTTTAGAGTTGATTCTGAAGCGTAATAAATGGAACATTGACCAACATATTTGATTTGTTTTTGTGATTTTGATGACGGCACTTGAAAAAATGTAACATTTCTTACTCTTACTTGTTTCTCAACCGCATCTTGTTATTTATGGTTTTATGATGTAAAACACTAAAATGAGCTGTGATTCATAAATAACTCACTTATTAAATTATTCAATTTATATTTTAAATCATTAATTATTTAAATTTGAAAACAAAAGAAGAAAATCCTTAAAAGTATAATTAATTAAAAAGTTAAATATTTAATTTTGATTTTTTTTTTTTGTATATGTATATTTTAAAACATTTACAAGCCATTATTTTCATCTAGTCCTTATAACTGTTCTGAACTTCCTCCATAGTGTTTGGTGTGTAAAAAATAATAAAATATATTTTTGTTTTAATTCTATGGAAGAACATTTCAGCCAACTTGTATCTCATAAATGTGACAATCCTGTAGGACAACAAACTGCCGACGATAACTACCAGTAGTTTTAGTCGACTACTTGTCAACATAACGCACTAAATCTTAAATGTACGTGTGAAAGTTTTTATTTTCTTTTGACAAAACTTTTTTGACCTTCCAACCTGCTGCTGTGAAATAATTTCCTCCGGTCTCCTTTTCAGCTGGTAAAATGTAAGATAAAAAGTGACTTTGCTACTAACTGTCAGCACTATAACAAGATAAAGTTAATTTTTAAAAAACAGCAAGGGAGAGGGAAATATTTCCGCTATGCTAGTTTGACTATGACAATTATAACATGTAGACGTGCTGTGGAATTCTCTGTGTTTCGGTTCAGTTATGAAATAAAAAAAGAAAGGCCATCCACAAACCAACTGTGACAGATCATCAGAAAAGCAGGTATTTCAATTAGCTAACCAACCGCTGCGTGTTAGATTAGCTAGTAGCAGCGGGAGCTAATCTACCACAGCGACCACTTATTAATAATCACAAAGCAAACATCAAACCAAAGACATAAAACTATAATGGACAGAATATTCAGTTCTCTGTGTGGGAATTTCTTTTGTTTTATTTTGTTTTGTTTTGTTTTTTTGGTGTGGAGCCATTGTCAGTTGCTATGGCAACAAGTCTGCGCGTAGCTTAGCCTACACAGACCCAGGGAAAAAAGAATATGAGGGGTTTTGAGCTGTTCTTCAAACGTTTTTCTGTGTTATTTTCCCTTTGCTGTGGCTCACCGCACTGAGTGAACAATCTCTACGTGTCCAGCTTTTGCTTTGTTAACGGAGTTGTTCTACTTCTACAGCCGCAGCGAGGCTACGGATGGCTTCTTGCCTTCTGGCATTGTGCGCATGCGCCAAACTTCTGGATGTAAACAGTAACATACTCCTTTAAGTCATTCATCCTCCTGCTCACCTTCAGTATCTGTCACATTTGAGCTGTGACGGTTGGTGTTCTCATATTTTATAGGCTAAAACATCTGACGAGAGCCGGTTAGCGCGTTGCTAGCATGTAAACAAATACCGTTTCCGGTTTGAGGCGGAAATTGCGCCCATTATTCACGCAAAGCCACATGGGAGCTAGGAATAATGAATATGATTTTGATCTATTTTTTTTTTTTTTTTTTGCATCAGTTAAATTAATTTGGTTCTGAATCAGCAGTAAAATCCAAACTGTGTCTTGTTTTATGATTATTAATGAGAAACTAGAAGGTTTACCCCCCATTACCATCTGCAGCTATTAATTTAGGCATCACATCCTGTAGATAAATTAAACCAGACTCCTCTCTGCTCCAAAAAGTTGCATAAAAAGGTTAAAAATAACATTGTCGTCTGGAAGGATGTTAGTCACGCAGGAGGAATAAGTCTTTTGTTCGTCATTGTGGGTGTTTGGGTTGAAAACCAGAGCGGATGAGACGCCTGGGAGGCGGGCGGGGAGGGAAAGGGGATGAGGCTGGCAGAGATGCTGCGGCCCGGATTATTGGATTGGAGCATCCCGTATGGCTGGGTCAGAAATGAGGTCTTCCTTCCAAGGAATGCTCGCAGGCAGCTCTTCTCCTCCATCTGCCACTACGTCCTACAAGCTAATCTCATCTGATTAAACTCCCCGCAGACTTTCTGTCCACTTCAGACGGTTTGTTCTCATTTGCACATCAGGACTGTTTGGTGTTTTGGGTGTAAATGTGATCAGATGAGACTGTTATTCTACAGGAGTGCATCAGTTTGAGGCGATACAGCAAGCAGAGGATGAGAAAGCAGATCTGAACCTGTGGGTGTTCTTTCTGGGTTTTTGTATAAAGCCTAATTTTGTGTGTGGGAGAGAGATTCACGCCTCGGGTCGCTGTGACATAACGCCGGCGCTTCTTCCAGGGTTCACAGTAAAATCCAAGCATTTTTAATGCGTTTTCACACATTGCACCACAACAGTTTGGAGATACTAACCGTACAAATGAAATAAAGAAGACAGTTTTATATGGAAGAAGATTCGGGCCAAGAAATAAAAATGTAAAATAAAAATCAGAGTGTTTTCTCAAAATTCTAACTTTAATCTCAGAAGTCTGACTAAAAAGAGAAATCTAACCCTAGTTTTGACTTTTCTAAAAGAAAAAAATTATTTATTTTTTTTTTTTAATTTTGACTTTTCTCAAAATTCTAACTTTAATCTCAGAATTCTGGGTTTTTTCTCGGTATTTTGACTTTTCTGAACAAATATAATTTGAATCTCGGAAATTTGACATTTTTCTCAGCATTCTGATTTTTTTCTGAGAATTTTGACTTTTCAAAAAAAAAAAAATCCTAACTTTAATCTCAGAATTTTCACTTTTTTCCCTCAAATTTCTGACTTTAATCATTCGGGATCAAAAGCTAGAATTCTTTTATTGAAATTTCAGGACTTAATCCTCTTCTGCAGTTTCATTTCACTATTTTATGATCATTTATGATTGCTATCGATAATATCTGGTGATGGAGGTTTGTTAATGGATTTTGTCAACACATTTCAAGCAGCCCTTTGAGGACATCCATAATCTGGATACGGCCCAAAATAAAAATGAGTGTGACGTTCCTGCGTCACTGCAGCAGGAACAGAAGTAATCCCTCCTGAAAAGTTGTCGTCTCGCTCAGTTAAGCTACGGTTGGCCTTGAACTATCCCCCGGCTGCAGTTGCAGCCTCGTCTTGCAGGCGTGTTTTAATGCTCTGCAGATTTTCACCCCTGACCTGCTCCTGTGCACTTCAGTAGATCTGCAGCTGTGCGCCCGGAAAAGTGGAGCGGTCCTATCGTCTGAAATTTGCCTCAAACCAAAGGCTATTTTTGAACGCTGAAAGATCTGTGGGGAGTTCGTCATGTTGGAGCAACACAAAGTGGAAAGAAACATCAGTTTTTAAATGGTTAGAGGAATATTTACGTTTTGAAGCTGAACTCAGATCAGTCAGGTCTGAATTTTATGTTTTCAATGGATTTATTATTATTAAGTCAATAGATGTCAATACTTTAATTCACAAAGGGTAACTTGTGTAACATAGACATATGTCCACCTTTCATTTCTGTTGGTTTTGCTGATTTCAATACTATATAACACCAATACATTTATTTCTTACACAGGAAACGTCAGTCGACTCAAAAATATGTCTTTCACAAAGTGTGCTCAAGAATTATTGACTTAAAACAAGATTATATTTAAAAACTAACTGAAAAGTTGCTTTTCAGTTAGTTTTGTCTCATTTCAAGAACTAGAAACTAGACCAGGAAACTTGTTTGAGGTGCAAATTCAGAAATTTAACCTCAGAATTCTGATTTTAATCTGCTGAGATCAAACGTCAGAATTCTGCTAAATAAAGTTTGAATTCTGATTAAAGTCATAATTTTGAGATTAAAGTCTGAATTCCGTGAAAAGAAGTCCAAATTCTGAGATTACAGTCCGAATTATGAGCAAAAAAGTCATAATTTTAAGATTAAACTCAGAATTCTGACAAAAACAGATAGCCAACATTTTGAGAAGAATTCAGAATTTGAGCAACAAGTTATAATTTTGAGATTACAGTGAGAATTCAGAGATTGAATTCTGAATTGTAAGGTCAAAGTCATAATTCTGAGTATAAAGACAGAATTTTTAGAAAAATGTCAGAATTCTTCAAAAACAAGTACAAATTATGAGATTAAAGTCAGAATTATGTGGAAAAAAGTCAGAATTATGTGATTATAATCCAAAATCTGAGGGAAAAAATCTGAATTGTCAGATTAGATTCTGAATTGTCAGAACAAAGTCAGAATTCTTTGATTATTTTCCAAATTATGATGAAAAAATGTCAGAATTCCGAGATTAATGTTAGAATTTTGAGATTAAACTCAGAATTGTGAGTTTAAAAAAACAAACAAACAGAATTTTGAGAAAAATGTCAGAATTTTGAGAAAAATGGTACTTTCTTCCCCCTCTTCCAGTGGCCCTAACCGTCTTCCGTAGAATTTCTCCTTAAATGAAAAAGAAAAAAAACTTTGAACGTGTCATGGTGGGGAGCCTCCAGCGCAGCAGAACACTCTGCTCCGATGCGGTACAGCGGTGCGGGACGCGGCGGGTCGGTTACCTGGCTGTGGATCAGGTCCTCGCACACCGACAGAGCCATCTGGATCGCGTTGGCCTTGTGCGTGACGGAAATGGCGTTGAGCTTGAACTTGTCCCGGCCGTACACCTGGTTGGCCTGGTTCACGGCATCCTTGAACACCTGCTCGTACCTCTTCTGGCTCAGGACGGCCCCGATGTTCACGATCTTGGGCTCGCAGCCGGCCCGCGCGCAGGAGCACGAGAGGAGCACCGCCAGCAGAAACAGACGCATCGCGTGGAGCGCCAACCCGCACAGCGCAGCCCGGTCCCTTTTCTCCGCGGTGGCGGCTCGGCTCGGCTCGGACTGAGCGAGGCGGGCGCGATCCAGGTGGGCGACGAAACCGACCGGGGCGGGGGGAGGATGGGAGCCCCGAAAAAGGAAAACGGAAGCCCGGAGAGAAGCGCTGGCTATGCGAAATGCGGAGGAATGTGCATGATCAGGAGCGGAAACCTCCAAAATGCATCTTTTTTCTCCGTTTCTCTAAAAAAGATAAAATAAAATGAATTTTTTTTAAAACAAAGAGGCTACCTAAATCATCGCACTATCTTCCGTCGAACCGCGTCCCAGCCCGTTTGGACTCCCGAATCGCGTCTGGAGCGGAGCCGGTGCCGGTGCTGTCCTTGGTGCTGACAGCTGTGCGATGCGCGCCGCGGCGATCGGCTGCTTGTGCGCGCTCCCGCGGGATCCGCTTCATTCACTCCGAGCAGCTTCTGCAGATCCGCTGCTGCTGGGATAAAACAGGGAGGTTCTGGTGAAACGTTGATCCAAACACATCAGAGGAAAGAAATATTTAAAAAACATCCACAAATTGTTTTTGTTTTTGCTTTTTTGATGCTTCAAGTATAAAACACAGTCACATTGTGGAGTACAGAGAACCAAAAGTGCCACAATTACTGGAAATAAGTGAATATTTGTGTGCAACTGTATAGTTGACATGATTTTCGTGTGTCAATAACTGATTAAATAAATATATTTAAACACAAATTATTTAAGCAATATTTTTATGACTAAACATAAAAATAACTATTAATGGCTCCTGTTATTTAATTGAGTTAAAGATACAGCTCCTCAATTGACCAATCATATTGCCTTTAGCAGTTTTAGTCCCACCCACTTGTTTAGATGTGTTACGTTACACAGAATTAAATAAAATAATAATATACTGCAATATAGGATTCTGAAATTATTGTTTTTATTTTTGTGAATTCCACTTTTCTTGAAATTATTACACATAAATATGTTTACCAACTTGAATTCAAATTCAAATCCAATTCAAAAATACTTTGTTAATCCCAAAGGGCAATAAGATGCTGTTGTTGCTCTTAATTCAAATTCTTCCATTTTAAATTCCCATTTGGAGAATTTTGGCACTATTGGTCCTCGATACTAATTAATAATAAATTATGAAATCAAACATAAAAAATATATGTAAGATGAATGAATAAATATAAAAATAGACCTAAAAAAGAACGAACATTTAATTAAATAATGATGAAAAAATCTCTCATCACAAAACAGTTGAATTTTTTTTTCTTTTGACCTCTACTTTATTTAATATACATTTTTATCTCAGTGTTTTTGAGCAACGAGGTGATAACATTTAATTTAGGTCATTATTTGTCCCTCCTGGGCATAAAACCCCCTGAAACGAACCAAACTTCATTAATCACACCAAACACGGGCGCCATCTTTCCTTCTTTCCTTCTTTCTCGTCTCCTTAAACATTCAGTCTCATGCTGAGAGGCGAGGTAAACCCAAACACTACATAAACACGGCGCAGGTACCGAGTATCTCCTCCCGCAGTCTAATGTCTGCCTGTTTTTGTTGAAGAAGCTGCTGCTGCTGCGGGGATCGTCCCTGCAGCCTGAACAGAAACGAGGCGAATCAGCCTCCCGGTTGCCATGGAAACAGGCTTCTTCACAACAAGAGCGCGCGCGCCCTCAGCGGAGCTCTCTCTACCGCGAGGACAATAATGATAATAATGATAATAACAGTAATAACAATAACAACAATAATAATAATAATAAGGGCGATACAGACAGAGCAGCAAAACCAGACATTAAAAAAAATCAAGAATCTGAATTTGAATTCACGTTGTCACAATATAACAACAGCAAGCTTCGTTGTATTTTACTAGTATTTTTTATTTTTTTTATTTTTAGTTTTTATTTAATTATTTATTTTGCGCAAACTGAAATTATGAAATAATAGAAAACACGCCGATTTTGAGTCTGCGCTGGGATGAGGTGACGATATAAAACAGACGAAACTCGAGTTTAGCAACCTGTGACGTAAAATCGGTGTGCGCATGCTCATCGCCACAATGTAGGGCGGCTTGTTGGGTAGCACAGATAGTCAGTACATCGGCCGTAGTTTGATGAATTTCATTAAAGTGTAATGAAAACATTTCTTTTCCACATCACATGAGTCACATGATCAACGGATGTTACTTCTGGCGAAAACGACGAAGAAGACGACAGGAAGTGGCAGAATGATGTCTTTCTCTGGAAAATGTCTGGCTCATAGGTTCATTGCAGTTTATAAATAAATTTATTGTCATTTGAATGTGTTGCTCTTCTGTAAAAATGTTATTTTAATTTTATTTAATTTCTTATTTAATTAATGGAAGCAATTGCAAAATTATTTTTTTTGACATCAGCAGAAGGTCAAAGATTTGCAGCTAAAGTTGTGCAGAATTGTGAAATGGATTTTCTTATTTTACAAATTAAAATCTTAAAAGTGTGGTGTGCATTTTTATGAGACACCACCTTCCACTGCAAACAGTCTCATCTAGAAGCTGAAATATTTTTCTTTCTTCCAAAAGAAAAAGCTCAAGCGCAGGTAAATTGGAAAGAGAGCCTCTGTGAAGGTACATGTGGAAGCTGTGCCAGTTGGATTGATGTCTGGACTTTGACTGGGCCATTCCCAACACATGAAAATGCCCTATAGTGGTATGTTTAGGGTTATTCTCCTCAGTACCATTAAAATGATAGGTCAATAATAGTTCAGCTCTGACCAGCCTCTTCGTCCTTCCAGAAGAAAAACATCCCCGTAGCATGATGGTGCCACCACCATGTTTGGTGTGTTCAGCATGTAGAGTTAGTTTTATTTGACAGGCTTTAGCGATAAGAACTGAGAAACATGGATTTAAAATAAAATCAATATGTAATAGTAACAAATGTAATCATTTGAATACTACACTTATTTTATTTGAGGAATATTTGATATAAATTACAGCATTTAAGTGTGATGGTCCGTATTTTTCCATTAAAGAGATAAAACTACATATTTGGCCATATTAAGACGACCAAATATGGTCGTCTTAGTTGTTACTGGACGGTAAAAATAAAACAAAGCAAACATAGTTAATATTAGATGCAGGACAAAGAAAGAAAGGAGAAAAACTTTGTCATTTTTAGAAACAACATCTAAATAAATTAGAAGGATGAGTGAGTGTGAGTCCTGCTTCTCCCTCTGGGCTCGTCTGGAAGGATTTATTTTTAAAGGTTTTCCTCATTAAAGCGAATAAACAAACTCCCAGGAGCAGAAAAACATATAAAACATTACTCAGAGAGAAGAAATGACAGCGTATTAGGGTCATTATAAGAAAATGGGGAGTAAAACTCTGCCAGAAAAACATAACTGAAATTCTTAGATTAATTTTCTAGAAAAAACTTTGACATTTTTGAGTTTGAAAAATCAAAAATGTGCTAGAAAAAGAAATCAGCAATTTTGAGATTAATCTAAGAAAGTTTATTGAAAAACAATGAAAAATCTGAGTTTGAAAAGTTGAAAATTTGCTACAAGGTAGAAATTTTGAAATTCCTGAGTTTGAAAATCTGATACGAAAAAAAAAAAAAATCATTTGGAACTTAATCTCAGAAATGTCCTAGAAAAAATAAGAAAATATCTGAGTTTGAAAAATTCAAGTGTCTAGAAAAGAAAATTGAGATTAATCACAAAGATTTTCTTTAAAAATACACAAACATTTACGAGTTTGACAACCCCCAAAATTCTAGAAAAACAGGAAATGTCTGTCGAAAATATTGCAAGAAAAAAAAATCCTATTTTGAGATTAATCTCAGAAATTTTCTAGAAAAAAATATACATTTCTGAACTTGAAAATTCCAAAATTTGCTTTAAAAAAACCTCAAAATAGACATTTTTAGCTTAATGCCAGGAACCTATAGAAAAAACTGAAATTTCAGAGTTTGAACAGTTAAAGCTTAGAAATTTCCTTGATTTTTCTGGAAAATTTCTGAGATTTGTTTGGTGGAAATTTACTCATTTTAATATATCTACAATGTCTCTGTTAGAACAAAACACAAAAAGCAGAAAAATATTTTAAAAACAACTCAGACAGGAGAAGAAATGTCTCCATCATCATCAAATTCCTAGAAATACCATAAAGAATAAATAGGTTTTAATGTAAAGCGTCGCTCCTAAAGATTAGCTTGCAGCCAGACTGTCACAGGCGGGTCGGTCCCTGTGGGCTGAAGGCGGCTCGTTATCTTCATCCTCCTCCTCCTCCTCACACATCGATAAACCTGGACCGGTCCTCACACCGCTTTACGCCAGAATCTGGCCTGAAACAGAACAACAATTCTCCAGTTGTTTGAGGATAAATCATAAACACAGCGAGACAAAAACCAAGTTCACACACACACACACACACACACACACACACACACGCATGCACTCTCACACACACACAGTAGGAAGACTCTTTGAGTGATACACACTCCGCCCACACACACAGTCCTCTGCAGAGCAAAGGGAGGAACTCATGTTTCTGTGTGCATGTGTGTGTGTGTGTGTGTGTGTGTGTGGGTGTGTGTGTGTGGATGTTGCTCCAATGCAGCAATTACCATATCAGCCATTCCTTCTAATAAGTTCTGTAAAACAATATGAGCAGACGCAGGATGCATCAGAACAGGGACGTCCAAAACGCACCGCGGGGCCGTTTGGCCCCGAAATGAAAGCTTGATGCTGATGATGTTTTATTATTCATTACTGCTAAATCTGCTGTGGAATAATTTATTAAAACTGGTGGAGTTGTGTAGTCACATTTACTTGAGTAACGTTTGGGGAAAAATGTACTGTTACTACACTGTAGTTTTGACTTTTACTTGAGTAATTTTATAATAAAGTGTCTCTTGTTTTCCCCGAATGAAGAATAGTTTTGTTTTAACCAAAATTTTACCAAAAATAGACACTCTCCTGCAGTTTTTGTTAAAATCTCACAAGTTTTATGTTAAATTATATTTTGATATGAATTATTCTCAGTTTGGGTCCTAAAATACCAAACTTTCAACTTAACTTTATATTTTGGTGTGATTATGTCATTTTTAAATATTAAATGATTTTTGTTTTGATCAGTCACTCAATGCCTGAGTCACCTTTTTACAAAAATACTGTTTTACTTTCACTTGAGAAAAATATGTTGAAGCAGAGCTACTGAGTATAATTTCTGAGTAATCTAATACAATATTAATAGATAAAATTTAGGCTTGTATTGTGTTGTAACAATGTAGTTTTATACACACATAATGAAGAAAAGGCTTCTATGACAATAATTAATGCCTGAACGTTCATTTTTCTACTGAAATCCTCCCAGTGTCCCCCTGCTGGTCATTTCTGCTATTGCACACCAAATTAAGCAACAAATTGATTGCTGTTTTCTTAGCGGCTTATTTTATTTATGCAAAGTGATAAATATGAACTTAAATGCAACCAACCAGAACAATATTTATATGCAT